TATATTTATGTCTGTATGTATTTTATGCAGTTCAGGTTGCTGCCATTATTTTTAGCTGTGTGTGTTTCAATGCACTACATGTTTGCACTCTGGTTGAGAGAGGAAAGTAATTTCATCTGTGCCGTATGTTGCACATAGAGCATATTTGACAATAAAACTAACTTGACTTGATTTATATTCGTGCCTGTGCGTGTGTGTGTGTGCGTGCGTTCTTTCGGCAGTCTTTTGTATCATGTGTCCAATTGGACATAAGCAGCATGTCAAGTATTTAAAAAAAGTTTTTTACTGACATCTGGTGGTAGAAAAACAGAACGACAACTTCGTATGCGTACCCCATCACAAAGCTAATGCAGGTAGAGCTGGAAGATTAAAAAAAAAGCTAATTCCCAATTCCTGCGGTTGTGCTCAAAGATTTAAACGAATATATTTGTGGCATTGTTAGTTAGAGTTCACGTTTACCAGTTTGTGCGTTGTGACGTTAATAATATAGTGTACGGTACGACAATGGATGCTCAACAGAGCTGTGTGTGCGTGTGAAGGTTTTTCGGCAGTAGGATTTTGTGGTGCAGCAAGGTCATCATTGATTGATCCAGAATCCTCCTTCAATAAGGCCCAGTTGTCATCCAGTTACACAACATTGACAGCTAGCAACAAACTCTCAAACTTGGGGAAGTTGGTCTGCGGGGGTCTATTTTAAAGTCCCGACGCATACTTGTGCACCTTATGCAATTTATTCACAGGCAGCGACGAATTACACCCACGCACTCATGCTCTACTTACACGATACGCACGTTCACTCTCTTTACTGATGTCGCACCTCGGATGTATTAAAGGAAATTTTCAGTGTCCATGGTGGAAAAAGTCGCGCGCTTATCAAGGCCACTGAGCCGCGGCGATACCGACTGTCCTCAGTCGTTGGTGACACATTGCTTTATACTGATAAAATAAAAGCAGGAGCAGCCAGAGAGATAAGTAAGTGTGACTTTCTTTCCATGACCACGTACCTGGCACATCTCCATTATGTCGCACAAAAATAATTCCAGAAATAAACAATAAAATGCTAATGTACACACCCGGCCTTCGCAGTGCACAAAGCCGTTCTATGCCATCAGTAGAGCGCTGTTGAAGCGGTATGGTTCATAATCGAGTCTTCACGTAAATAGTGATGTGCTGCCTGTGTTTTAAAAATGGCGCGGCAGCTTACATGTGCGTTGCTAACTTCGGCTTTGGTTCCATTTCATTACAAATTGAAGAAGTCAAGGTTCAGCATCGCTTTGTGATGCTTGAATGGTCTCGTCTCATTTTGACAAATGGTGCCATAAATTTGTCAAACACTTTACTGATTGGAGACCAGGGATGGGCATCTTGAATGATGGCATCTTATACTGTGGAGCACTGCTGTTTGTGTGGGGGAAGGGATGAGGAGCGGGGCGGTCGGCAAATTGCGAAAATCCGTTTGTTTTGTTTTTAATTAATTGAAGGCCCACTCAGAGTGTCGGCGAGGGCGGCATGCAGGCTGCCAGTTGCCCATCCTACGATAAGACGACGTGGAATGTCCCTTTGAGGAAAGAAGCACGTCAGATATTTATTCAGGATGTGGCACTTGATGTCCGCATATGCAGTGTCCTCTATGGTCGTCATCCGGGGTTGTAAGACAGCACCCGCGACATGTGCGTTAAACCTGACAGCTCACCACTTGTCAGTACCGGGAACGCAAAAGACGGACGGATCAATTTTTTTTTTTTCCATTGCAGGCAGATGAGTGCCAGTTTGGGCATCAAGGGCTTTGTCACCTCTCAAATGCTTGCGTGAGATTGAGTGTACTGAGAACTGGAAACGTTGTTGAGGCCAGTGTGTCTTTGAAAATTGTGTGTGTGTGTGAGTGTGTGTGAGTTCGTCCCTTGTATTCTGTCACCACTAATGGGGTATAGGTTCCCAGCCCTCTCTCTGTATCAACAACTCTCGGGTTTCAGTGGTACAGTCGAAGCTCATTCCAACATACCTCGAGGGACATAACGAATCTGTCCGTTATAACTGTCGTTGCTTGTAAACATTTCCAATAAAATGGCCGCCAACTACGATGTATATGTAATATGTATGGACATTTATAGATGTCAAAACCTGAACATGTAATGCAGTACAAACATGTCAATCACAAATCCGTGGATATGAAGGGAACGTTGTTTTATGAGACAAGAAACAAACAACGGTATATTTCATCTCTGAAAACGTTCGGTCAGCAAATGAAAAGTGCCTCTTCTCGGGTTCGGGATGTGCCGCGCCCCGAAGCCGCTTACGATCATCTTTCAATCGGTCGGCCTCAAACTCTGCCAAGATTTTGTTGTCATGACGGACGATTGTCGAAATCGTCGACTTTGCCAACTCGGCTGACCTTCTCCTGGGAGACTCCCTTTCGAAAGTGAGAGACAATTTCAAACTTCGCCAACAGCCACATTTGCTTCAGTTTACCAGACGCATTTGCAGACGCTGTGCGGCGTGCCTACGGAAATCGTACAACAATGTACGAGTCGATCGGTGGCGTTGCTACGCTACATTTTGTTCATAAGTGAGGTCGCGGCGGCGGTTCGCTTCCCACGGTTCGTATTCCCCGTTTTCGTTCGTGTTTACTTTGCACGGCCGTTGAGCTGAAAATCTGTCGGTCCGTCTATTAGTCTAAGATAATTCTTGCTCTTTTGTGTCCATTCAAGGTTTGTTTTGCATCACCATTGTAAAGAAAACATTTCAAAAGAAATGAATGATTCCAAAAACTCGTCGTCACAATACGATACGACTTTCCTCCTTGAGAATTTCGATGATGGAAGGAAGCGTTTTGGCTGAGAAACGGTCTGAGTTGCCGATCGAGGTTTTGCCATCTGGTACCCTCGTCATCCCCTGCCGACTTTTCTGTTCATGAACTTTGAATGTGGGGTGGATTCAGAGTTCCATCTTCTAAATCTCACCACGCTCGAGTTGTGTTCACACGGAGGTGTTGTTTTTCAGCGCTTGTATTTGTTTGTTGGACTTGCAGTACAGTGCGCTCGCGTGTCAGTCCCGGATTCCCGAGATTCTAACACCTAAGCGAAGGGCCCTGAGGCATCTCAAATGCCAGGGAGCAATCCTCTCCAGCAACCCCCGCCCCCGGTGCCCCCACCGTAAGCCCCCCCTATCGATCCCCGAGTGGCCACTCCAGCTATCACTGGCCACCCACTCCCTGACGTCCGCAGGGGGCTGCACCTTCATTTGGAGGCGAGCCAGCGGCGCTCGTTAAAAGTCAACGCCGAACTGTCGTTTTGTGGGGCAGCTCATTTTTCTTCCTCCATTGCCTTTTCTTGCAAAGAAGTGTCCACTCATTTTTATGGCCTGAATGACTGACAGGAGCTCATCGATGAGTGCTTCTGTTTTCTTCCTGGGAAGAGGTCAAACACAAATCAGTCATGAGCTCCAGCTTGGTCAACTCTTTAGCCAGAATGTATGATCCCAAGCCGCTTCACGGTCAGAAGCCCGGTGGCAGAAAGCTCTCGCTCAACGGATTAGACAAGTGCCCGGCTACTTGCGCTTCCTCCTGCCACGACGTCGCTTCGCTGCGCCGCATCGAGAGCCGCATCGACTCGTTGGCATGTCAGATGGAGAGTTTGCTCAGCATGCAGCAGGCCGTCCTGACCCGGCTGGACAGTTTGTCCCGCGACGTGAGAGGGATGGAGCGAAGCCGGGCGTCGTTGAGCGAGGAGGCTCCCGGTGATGCTGACGCCGGAGTGGGCGACGGCTCCCAAGTCGCGCTCGTGTGCGGGCAGTTGTTGGGGGCGGCGGAGAGGGTCGGTGAGCAAATGGAGAGTCAGGGCCGCAGGCTGGACGCGCTGGAAAAAGTGGCAGAGGGCACCCAGCAGGTGATCGGCTTCATCGGTGACGTGGTGAAGAGCTCCCGGCTGATGAGGCTTCTCTTTAAAAAGCCTGGGAGCCGATTCAAAGCCAAGGTGAGCCTCGGCCTCGTTTAATGGCAAGGGGGCATTTGCGCTGCAGTAAATGCAAATATTTTGTCTGAATGTCTGAGAGTGCCCTTCAAAATATCACGCCGCATTTTTTTTAATAGCAGGTAACATTGCAACAAAAACAACTGGCATGGATTATTTATTTGTTTTTGTTAGCTCGGATTAGCATCGATTTTCACCCTCGTTACTTGCAACCCTCGTTACGGTAATTAGACTAAAATGAAACTTTTTTCCTCCTCCTTGTATCCATTAATTATTTCGCAAGATTTGAGAACTGGATGTTTTTCCAGTTGTGTGATTTGGGTTAGGGCAAAGGTATGGGCAAAAAGTGCAGATTTTAAAGCATTTACACTGCCTATTCCATTTGTGTGCAGCATTACAGCCAAGTGCTGCTTCACCATCTTTGCTTTGAACTCTTGGCCCCGAGTCTGCAGACCCGAGGGCCCGACTGGGTTTATGTTCACTTTGCATGTGTTTGGGACCCAAACCATTCCGTTACTCTAGCGACTTATGTTTGTTTTCGGGCCTCACTACCTCATTTGGGATTCAGCGTTCAAATCTGTGGACCAAAATATGGGAATTGGGGCTGCTTTTGTTGGAACGAAAATAATCCACGGCGTTGTGATGGGGAGCTTTGACTTTGAAGTAAAATGTAAAATGTTTGGAATGTTTGCCGAGCAACATGGCTCCTTGCACATCTATATTTAGTCGTGTCGTTCCCCGATTGGTCACTCTGATAGTTTGTAATGTTAAGTAGTTTCCCCACTTGTCTGGCAGGGTGTAAATGATTCAACTCAGACTGGTTATCTGAGCCTAAAAATGGCGTTATCAGCACTGGCTAGTGGAACCGGTGGTGTCCGACTGCGCTCTTTAAGAATATTGATGATGCACAGCAGGATTTCTTGTGATGTGAAATGACAGGAGCAGCAGGCAAATGTTACAAGGCCGGTCCTGGGCACCCTTGATTTTTTTTCCCCCCTCGTCTCCCTCGTCCAACACACCACATTTAATGAGGATTCGATTCCAGGACTGGCCTTCTTGGGTGGAGTTTGCATGTTCTCCTCGTGCCCGCGCACCGGGTACTCCGGTTTCCTCCCACATTCCAAAAACGTGCATGGCAGGCTGACTGAACACTCTACATTGTCCCCAATTGTGATTGTGAGCGCGAATGGTTGTTCGTCTATGTGTGCCCTGTGATTGGCTGGCGACCAGCTCAGGGTCTCCCCTCCCTACTGCCCGAAGACGGCCGGGATTGGCTGCGGCACGCCCGTGACCCTCCTGAGGAGAAGCGGATCCGAAAAGGGATGGATGGATGGATGGATTAGTAGTCATGGCACCTATTTTTCTGACAACCTTCACCTTTTTCAACTCATCTTGCCGCCCATGTCAAATTTTTACGCCTTATTTATTTATTTGTTTGTTTTTGGGGTCATATCACGGGCCGCTGGAAAATGATGGTGGGCCACAAATGGCCCCCGTGCCGTAGTTTGGATACACAACACATCACATGTATGTGCCGGGTGGCAGACATTTTTGAAAAATAGAAACTTTGATGTTGATCGGAGGACCGAGTTAAAGGTGATCGAGAGGATCCAGGTCGCTCATGCTGACTTGTGGTTTCTGTCTTCCAAAAGGGAAAGGACGACAAGGACAAAGGCAAACTGAACCTGAAAGCCCAGAAGAAGAGGAGGTCCCTGGACACTTCAGGTAGGCTCATCATTCACAATCGGCATTTTGAGACATCCCAGTCAAGTTGCTGATGGTAACGGTGACAGTTTTTTCTTCTTTTTTTAAAGTGCTATAGCACTAAAGTGATTATTTTTATTATTGTTAAAATTGTGAGTGGTGGTGGTGGTCGTAGTAGTCGTAGTGGTACCATTCAATAGTTGTTTGACGGGATTATGTTCCACGTTCCTCGACTCAAGTGTATTTCTCGAGCAGTTTTCAACAACCACCGCCGCATACAAAGTGCTGCAAAAAGAATTCATACAATAATAAACAATAAATGAATAACGAGGACAGTAGAAAGCACAAAAACAGTACAACAACAAAAAAAATCAAGTCTCATACGGAATCGAAAGCCAAAGAATAAAAATGAGTTTGAAGATGAGTTTTAACGATGGGCAGCGAGGGGGCTTGCTGAATGTTCAGCTGGGGGGGGTCATTCCAAAGAGAGGGACCGGCAATGGAAAAGGCTTTTCGAGGATCTTAAAAAGAACTCTAAAATGGGGAGGGAGCCAGAGTAGGAGTGATGTGCTCCCTCTTACGAGTACCAGACAAAAGGTGCGCGGCAGCGTTGTGGACCGACTGGAGACGCTTCATGGAGGATCGGCTGACTCCAAAGTCAAGTGCGTTGCAGTAATCTGGCCGAGATTTCACAAAGGACTGTATCTCCGAGTGCTCGTAACAAAGGAGAGGCTTGACTTTAGGCAGCTGCCTAAAATGAAAGAAGTTGGATTTAATAACAGAAACGAATGTGTTCCATACAATACTAAAAAAAGAAGCTTGTCTCAAAATGACATCAAACTGCACTAAAATGTGATTTGCCTTTGTCTCTCCCGACAGAAGACACACTGACGGGGTCGGTTCTGCCAGAGCAGGTCGCAAAACTCAACCAGAAGAACATCGATCATTCTCATGGAAACAACAACGCCGAGGACAGGGCAAACGGAAGACATCTCGAGTCGTCCACCTTGATTCTGAACGATTCCAATAAGGAGAGCGAAGAGGTCTTTGACGACTCGGGCCCTGACGAAGACGTGGAATTCGAGACCAATTCAGCAGAAGATTTCAATCCAGAGAAGACCGGCGATGAGCGAGATGAAGGGAGTAACTCAGAAGCAGACATTTCTTCCCAGACTGCCAAGACGACTCCTATCGTTAAAACTGAGAGGTATTTATCGGTGTGTCATTTTTCGTCACGGCTTCCACAAACAACGGGTATGAAGAAGTGACGTCGTCTTGCGTTTGCAGCTCTGACGACGTCGGTGTCGACGCGGACGCCTGCAGCAAACGCCGCGTCACCGAAGAGCGACTGGTGACGGACGAACTGAAAAAGAGTCGAGTGGAAGGCGATCAAGATCCGAATGCTGACGGAGTTGTGTTGGAGACGGAGACGACCAAAAACGCCGACTCGGATGCGGTCCACGCAGAGGCGGAGCAGGGAAACAACCAGCAGTCTGATGTGAAGGAATTCCTCATCGGTGAGAAGCGGACAAGTCCCGCGTTTCATGCTGAGTGTCAGCAAAATTCTGACCGCTTCACTGGGTTTCTTCAAAAAATCGTCGTGAGGTGATATGCGTCCGTCCAAAAGTCACGGGCCGCCAAAGGATTTGTTCTTTTAGCAACGTGATCGTGATCGCATCTAGAACTAGAAAGTTTATCAGGGACCTTCACTAAGGCTGGAGAGTCAAAGAGTGAAAACAATCCAGACTTTGTATTTGGGGTGCGTTTGTCCAGCTCCGTGTTCACTCGGAGGTTAAGTCCTGGAAAAACAACAAAGAAAAAAAAAACTCTCTTTCACTCTTTTTTCATAAATTGACACTGACTAAGCAGCTCATGATTTGGTTTAGTCATTCGCATTGTGCCGCCTGATTTGCATTCCTCAGACTTTGTCATCATCTCCTCATTTTAATTGTAATCTTTTCAGACTCCAGTCCTCCGCCATCGGCACCTTTCGATCATCGCATCGTGACTCCCAAACCTCATCAAATAGCGGCCTACTACTCCATCAACAGAGACGAGGTCCTGGGAGGGTGAGTTATGCCAGACGTCAGAATTAGACTTTGCCTGTGCTTATTTTCATGTTGGAAATATCCTCAAGCTTTTTTTTTTTGTCAGTACCAATGCTTTAAAACTGCCTATTTAAAATTGATTGGGAAAAAAAAAAAAGGTTGCCGGTCCATAAACAGCATGTACTTGTCTTAACTGGTTCGTGACACAAAAGAGGTTGGTGACCCCTTGACCTATGTAACAGTCTACTCTCTTCCACCAGGGGACGTTTTGGCCAGGTCCACAAGTGCATCGAGAACTCATCTGGCCTAACGTTGGCCGCCAAGATCATTAAGGCCAGGAGCCAGAAGGAAAAGGTGCAGTACACAAAGTACTGCATACATATCGCTATTGCGTACATATTTCTTCAGGCGGTTCAAATTGTTTTCACATTAAAAAATATATATATTTTGAAATCGACAAAAGCGACACACTATGAGCTCCAAATACTGAATTGCTCCCCCCCCCCCCCACACCCCAGGACGTGGTGAGGAACGAGATCCAGGTGATGAACCAGCTCAATCACTGCAACCTCATCCAGCTCTACGCGGCCTTTGAGTCTCGTCACGACATCATCCTGGTCATGGAGTAGTAAGTCGGTGCTGCGCGAAGGGTCTCACGCGTCGCCCCCCCTCCCCGATGCAAACCACGCTTTGTTCTTCTCTGTGCGCGCGACTCAGTGTCGAGGGCGGCGAACTGTTCGACCGCATCATCGACGAGAACTGCAACCTGACTGAGTTTGACACAGTGCTGTTTATCCGGCAAATCTGCGAGGGACTGCAGTACATGCACCGAATGTACATATTACATCTCGACCTCAAGGTAACCATTTGGAATCATTTGTTACTTCTTTGAAAACGTCACGAGGCTGTGTTGGTTGTTTGGCGACAAACTCATCTTAGCATGTCGTTATAATTTTTCGAGTTATCTCACAAGTGAGGCCCAAGCGAACAAAGCGATAGCCTTCTCTTCCGCGTTCGGATGGAGAGGCGTTCAAAGGCCGTCTCACGAAAACGTAAACGAATGATGGCTTCGACGGCACGAAGAAAATCGAAAATAATGCACTAAAACAGGAAATCACAAACTAAATTCTCTGGGGGTGTTTGTGAAAACACAACAAAGGAATAATTCTTTAAACATCAACATAGGCAATTCTGAAACAGTCCAGTCTCCTACATTAAGATGTATCCATCCATTTTCTGATCTGCTTTATCCTCACAAGGGTTGCACGACTAAGATTTATTTTATTTTATTATAATTCTTTGCGGGGGTGGGACAAGTGTTTTTTCTTTTTTGTCTGGAGTCATTTCGACAGCCTATGTTTCATGTTTCTTCTTGTTTTTCAGCCAGAGAACATTCTTTGTGTCAGCAGAGCAACAAACAAGATAAAAATAATTGATTTTGGTCTAGCCCGGAGGTAAGATCTTTCTTGACTGATTCGTTACATTTTTTTATTTTATTTTTTTTATCGAAAGGTTTAAAACATTGCATGTCCCCAACAGGTATAAACCTCGAGAGAAGCTGAAAGTCAACTTCGGAACGCCTGAGTTTTTGGCCCCAGAAGTCATCAACTATGAGTTTGTTTCCTTCCCGACAGACATGTGGAGCCTCGGCGTCATCACTTACATGCTGTGAGTTCTCACCGCCTACTTTTCTGAGGAGGGCTCCTTCTTCCCAAGCTAATTCGCTCTTGCTTTCTTTTCTCTCCTCGTTCCGTTCAGACTTAGTGGCTTGTCTCCTTTCCTCGGGGATGATGACAACGAGACTCTCAACAACATCCTGGCCTGTCAGTGGAATTTTGAGGAAGAAGAGTTCACAGACGTTTCTGAAGAGGCCAAAGACTTCATCACGCGTTTGCTGGTCAAGAGCAAAAGCTGGAGGATGAGCGCGACGGAAGCTCTCAGACACTCCTGGCTGGCAGACCAAAGGCTGCACTATCAGTTACATGTGAAGGTAAGAGTCAATTAGATGCCTTAGGTGGACATTTTGGGCAGATGCACCAGTTGCACACACACACACCAATTTAGCGCTGAAACATCCGATGGAGGCTGTTTGCTGGCTGCCAAATTCCCAAACTACGCCCAAGCAAACAACCAAGTCTTAACTCAATTGTATCTCTCGAGCACTTGAAAGCAACGACCGTAGTATACAAAGTGCTGTGCACGGATCAATTACCAGTCAAGAGCCGAGTGGCAGCATTCTGGACCAACTGGAGAGGCTTCATGGAGGATTGGCTGACTCCGAAGTAAAGCACGTTACAGTAATCCAGCCGAGATGTGACGAAGGCATGAATTTTGTGATAGAAGTGATAGTAACAAAATCAAATCTTGGCCCATTGACATTTGATTGGTAGCATTGGGTTACAAATAGTTGGGTCGCCTGGGTGCAGGCAACCTCGGCTACCGTAAAGACACACATGCCGTATAGTGTACAGTTTTATGTTGCGGAATTCTAATTCAGTCCATCGCCCGTCTCATTGCAGAAAGACAAATGTCAGCCCACAGCACCGCCCTCGCCAGAATCCTAGAGAGGTGAGGTCATTTCTTGCTCTGCACATGACTACAACTGACAACAGTCGCTTTGTTTTCGTTCCTTTTTGAAGGTGCTGTCTCCTAACAAAAAAAAAAACAAAAAAGGAAGTCACTTTCCTCTGCAGAAATTCGGTGAGGCCGCCAGCAGGCCTTCGGACAATGTCGGGCCCCGGCGCCCAACACTGACTGGACCAATGCTGCTGTACCCGTATGGCTACGGAATATCGACTCTCTGCCGAGCTTCCACCGCATTAGCTTGGTACAGCTGCTCGACTGTCGTCGACTTCATTGAGGCCGGAACAAGAAATGGGTCAATTTATCATTCGAGGTACAAAGTGTAAGAACATAAAAGCGAAGTTGAAATACCGCACTGATATGTGCGGTGACGTGCCTCTGCACACATGGGGACCCTGCAGCCCAAAACGGAGCGCTCAAATGGATTTATTGTCAGGAACGCATCGTATTTGGTAAAGAAATGTCAATTTAACCCTTCCAGGGACAGCGGTGATCACGGTGGACATCTTATCATGTTGTCACGTTAAAGTACTCCCAAAAAATGGACTCCTTAGCAACGGCTATGTGCAATTCCCAGAAATAAATGTAATCAACACCACTTTTTTTCCCATAACATGACTTAATCATGCCAAATTTTCGTACCCATATACAAACAAGATCTTGTTAAAAAAAAAAAAAAATCACTTTTGATTCTGAAGAAACCTTTCAGCGTTTGCCCAGCATTTGTTTACTCCACCAGGGATTTGCATTACGGCCTCTTGTTGGTCCACACGTGTAATGACAACTTTTGAAATGAAATCTGAGGCTGAAGGGAACCCCAAAAACTTTGTGTTGACACCAGACTTTTTTTTTGGATGCATAGCAGCAGCCGCTTAGGTTGGTTGATTTTTGGACTTTGGGTCATGAAGATGTCACCGCACGATTTTTCGAGATATTAAGGGAAAGAAAATCACACCAATTCCAAGCGGGGACTGATCGCGACTTCTTTTTCTGGTGTTTGAATCACAACTATGACAATGGATCATTTTCACATGGTCAACGCTTTTGGGGCTCCGGCTCGAAACATGGCCGCCCGACTTCCGATCGGTTTCGTGTCGGAGGGTCACACTGGATTTTACAATGTATAATTCAGGATTTTAATTGGAGCGACAAAATGAATGCGGACGTATGATGACATTGTTGATGATATTGTTTTAGGTTCCACCACGTTCGACAGAAAAATTATTGACTGTCTTTTTGCATGCATGGCACTTTTTTTCCCTCCAACCATTAGTAACAAAATAACTTATTACTTACTGAAATCAACATTTATATTTTGGAGAAGACATGTTACTTTCTTTTATGTTCAAGTCTTATGAGTTATTTTGTGAATAACTTAGAACACATCGATTTTGTTGAACACGTCATTTTGTACATTACACGTATTGCACAAAAATGTCCTAGATGTCAGCGCGCTCCCGATACCCGTCATGCTCATCGCACACGTACGCTAGCTGGCTGCCATTTGCTTTGACAGTCTGGAGTAGGTAGCCCCCATTCTCACCTTCCATGAAGGCGTAACACAGACTACACAATACTACCTATGAATGTTTCATGTTGCTGACTGCTGTTGATTTTGATGTCGGTTTATTGACTGGTTCCAACACCAGGCTGTACTTGAAGTGCCTGGTTTCTCTCATTTCTGCACATTTAGTGAAAGGTTGGTTAAAATGGAGGAGTCCAACCTCCGAGTCGAGATTGTGCGCTGGGTAGATTTTGGGCAGGATCGTCAACAGTCTTGACCGGAACGCAATCAGTGGAAAGGCAGCGGCTGCCCTTCATTCTTGTTATTCGATCTTTTGATTCATGCTTAGCACGTTTCTTATTGGTGGGTGGACATCCCCCATCCTCGGTCATGTCTCGTTCTGTTATCATGTTTTGCTTGGCTTGTGGAGATTCTTGACCATTGCATCTTTATGTGAGGGGACTGTATGTCACAACTGTTTGCGGTTCCACTGTGAACTGAAAAGCTTCGTCATTTGGAATAGTAGTTGGTTGTTTCATGTTACAACAATTGTTTTGTGTAATTATATGAATGAAAATAGAATCTGTATAAATGAAAGCACAAATAAAGTACACTGATGTGTAGTGTTGTTGATTGATATACGGAAATCGACGCAAGATTCCGTTTCCTCACAAATGAACAGCAAACTGCGACATTTGGAAGCACTCTTTGGAACTCTGAAGTATCGTTTGTTGTCGCGAGTTGTGACGAAGTGTCTGCATCATAACAGCTGCGATTACTGCGGACTCCCCTCGTCACCATATGGAGGTGGGAAAATCTCCCAAAGAGGACCGGGCTGTCGCAGATTCACGGCTGCCTGTGGGTGCACCGTCACCGGGCACAGCTCTACCGACGCCCCGCTAACTCGCAATCGAGGCAACACGATGAAAAGACACAAGACGGCCACAGACTCTCTTGGGAGATCACCGATGAGTGGAAAGCTGCTGTCCACATCAAATGCGATCTCTCTCTCTGATCCTTTCGCGTTATCCGGTACACGTGACACTGAACCGGAGATGATCTTTCCACACAATTTGAAAAGATTTAAAAGAAAAACATCAATGTCAAACTTTATATGCAAACAAGTACACATTCATAAAATAAACTAAAACAACAGCAGCGCCAGTAGTTCGGACTGTATTGCAAAAACAAATCCACAAGGTGTCGCTGTTGGTTCGGTTGTTGTACGACAGGGGCTGAACGACACTTCTTTCAGTTTAGTAGGATCTGTTTGCTTTCCGACGGTAATGGTTCCCCTCCCACTGAGCAGCCCTAAACGAGGGAAGCAAAGTCGTTTTATAGTACAAGTGCATCCAAATAACATTTCGAAAATAATATTTGACCGTGATCTCGGCTGGCGTCACCAGCCCATCAATCAAGAGAAGATGTGAAAAGGCACACGGGCTGTCCACTTGGACTCTTCTGCAGTGAAACCAAATCTGGCACCTGCTTGACTATAAATCACATGCTGCCATATATAAAAGTAAGTAACTTAGAGCTTTAAAAATACACGTACAGTATGAAACTGCAGTGTCAATCAGTCCTGCTCATACCAAGAAAAGTACGCCCCCCTTTACCCAGATAAGTTTCTCCATGACAGTTTATACTGTCAGACTCAAATAAACGGCTTCGAATACACAGTGATGCACTACAACTCTAACCCAATGTCATGAAGAGAAGAATAAAGGTCCAGAGGAAGGAAAAAAAAAGATGTAGCATACCTTGTTGTCTCATGATCCATCCATCCATTTTCTGATCCGCTACTCGTCAACAAAAGATAAAGGTTGTGTTCATTTTACATTTCACGGATGGAATCACACATGCAGTTAAAAAGAACATGTTCCACAATATGTTGCCTTGAAAACAAAGCGAGAGATGTAAAGCGCGTATTGAGTATATAGACACATTATATTACTAATGTTACATATCGAAATATCGGATGCGAAAATGGACCGTCGGCTTGAAAAACCAAAAACAAAACACATTGATTTGTATGTAAATTTCCCCCCGTCCTGAATGTGGCGCTGTTGGATGGAAGCCCCACCGTGGAAATCCGCTCGCCCCTCTTGATGGCGACCTTCTTCTGCTCTGCGCCCATTGGCTATTTCACGGTCTCTTCCTGATACGTAATCTGTGGCGTCACGGTGTCAGTTTGCTTGCTTGAGGTGCCGAACGGTGCAGGAAGTCTTGAGGTGAAGCGGTGCAAACAAACAAACATTTAGTGGCGTTTGGTTTTGGTGAGCCGAATTCCCCCAGATAACAATGTCTCGGGGTTCCGAGCCTGCGGCCAGCGACATCGGTGTCGTGGGAGACATCAAGAAGGAAAAGAAAGTGGCTCTCATCACCGGCATCACCGGACAGGTAACGCAAACCCTCCTTGTCGCCGCACCGACGACACCGTTGAGGGGTTTAGTCAAGTGAAAACCGCAAATGTCGCTTTTCATGAGATCTCCTTTTACATTAGCGGAGAATCACATGTGTCGATCCCCCAATGCTGCTGCCACTATAACGGTTCCTCTCGAATAGTTGGAGAGTTTGGTGCCACTCGGTCTGTACAAAACTCAAAACGGGTCTATGTGCGAGTTTTTAAAGCGCGATACCCACAGCCTGTAAACATTGGTCACTTGTCAGGTTCATCATCTTATTCCTTAGACATAATCAGAACATTTGCAGTTTGGTCGTCTGAAATGTCAAATGTGCGGCGACTGTGCCATTGGGAAGAGGTGTGACCAATCATTATTATTACAGTATTTTAATGATTGTTGTTATTGTTATTATTCTCTGCGTTCTCACACTCATCGATGGTCACGAGCTATGAGTCTTGACTGAGAGAACAAGAACATGTGTCCCGCGGGTGGCTGGGCTCGTTCCCAGGCAGAGGCCGGAAAGTCTGGTCATCTGCTGATCCTCCGCATCGAGAGGAGCCACATGAGGTGGCTTGGGCTCCAGTTTTGGATGCCTCACGAACGGCTCTCTGCTGATGTGTTCCGGGCATGTCCCACCAGAGGAGGTACCCCCCCCCCCTCCCAGGAATGACCCAGGACAAACCGGCACCCCAGGACGTGGTGAGGAACGAGATCCAGGTGATGAACCAGCTCAATCACTGCAACCTCATCCAGCTCTACGCGGCCTTTGAGTCTCGTCACGACATCATCCTGGTCATGGAGTAGTAAGTCGGTGCTGCGCGAAGGGTCTCACGCGTCGCCCCCCCTCCCCGATGCAAACCACGCTTTGTTCTTCTCTGTGCGCGCGACTCAGTGTCGAGGGCGGCGAACTGTTCGACCGCATCATCGACGAGAACTGCAACCTGACTGAGTTTGACACAGTGCTGTTTATCCGGCAAATCTGCGAGGGACTGCAGTACATGCACCGAATGTACATATTACATCTCGACCTCAAGGTAACCATTTGGAATCATTTGTTACTTCTTTGAAAACGTCACGAGGCTGTGTTGGTTGTTTGGCGACAAACTCATCTTAGCATGTCGTTATAATTTTTCGAGTTATCTCACAAGTGAGGCCCAAGCGAACAAAGCGATAGCCTTCTCTTCCGCGTTCGGATGGAGAGGCGTTCAAAGGCCGTCTCACGAAAACGTAAACGAATGATGGCTTCGACGGCACGAAGAAAATCGAAAATAATGCACTAAAACAGGAAATCACAAACTAAATTCTCTGGGGGTGTTTGTGAAAACACAACAAAGGAATAATTCTTTAAACATCAACATAGGCAATTCTGAAACAGTCCAGTCTCCTACATTAAGATGTATCCATCCATTTTCTGATCTGCTTTATCCTCACAAGGGTTGCACGACTAAGATTTATTTTATTTTATTATAATTCTTTGCGGGGGTGGGACAAGTGTTTTTTCTTTTTTGTCTGGAGTCATTTCGACAGCCTATGTTTCATGTTTCTTCTTGTTTTTCAGCCAGAGAACATTCTTTGTGTCAGCAGAGCAACAAACAAGATAAAAATAATTGATTTTGGTCTAGCCCGGAGGTAAGATCTTTCTTGACTGATTCGTTACATTTTTTTATTTTATTTTTTTTATCGAAAGGTTTAAAACATTGCATGTCCCCAACAGGTATAAACCTCGAGAGAAGCTGAAAGTCAACTTCGGAACGCCTGAGTTTTTGGCCCCAGAAGTCATCAACTATGAGTTTGTTTCCTTCCCGACAGACATGTGGAGCCTCGGCGTCATCACTTACATGCTGTGAGTTCTCACCGCCTACTTTTCTGAGGAGGGCTCCTTCTTCCCAAGCTAATTCGCTCTTGCTTTCTTTTCTCTCCTCGTTCCGTTCAGACTTAGTGGCTTGTCTCCTTTCCTCGGGGATGATGACAACGAGACTCTCAACAACATCCTGGCCTGTCAGTGGAATTTTGAGGAAGAAGAGTTCACAGACGTTTCTGAAGAGGCCAAAGACTTCATCACGCGTTTGCTGGTCAAGAGCAAAAGCTGGAGGATGAGCGCGACGGAAGCTCTCAGACACTCCTGGCTGGCAGACCAAAGGCTGCACTATCAGTTACATGTGAAGGTAAGAGTCAATTAGATGCCTTAGGTGGACATTTTGGGCAGATGCACCAGTTGCACACACACACACCAATTTAGCGCTGAAACATCCGATGGAGGCTGTTTGCTGGCTGCCAAATTCCCAAACTACGCCCAAGCAAACAACCAAGTCTTAACTCAATTGTATCTCTCGAGCACTTGAAAGCAACGACCGTAGTATACAAAGTGCTGTGCACGGATCAATTACCAGTCAAGAGCCGAGTGGCAGCATTCTGGACCAACTGGAGAGGCTTCATGGAGGATTGGCTGACTCCGAAGTAAAGCACGTTACAGTAATCCAGCCGAGATGTGACGAAGGCATGAATTTTGTGATAGAAGTGATAGTAACAAAATCAAATCTTGGCCCATTGACATTTGATTGGTAGCATTGGGTTACAAATAGTTGGGTCGCCTGGGTGCAGGCAACCTCGGCTACCGTAAAGACACACATGCCGTATAGTGTACAGTTTTATGTTGCGGAATTCTAATTCAGTCCATCGCCCGTCTCATTGCAGAAAGACAAATGTCAGCCCACAGCACCGCCCTCGCCAGAATCCTAGAGAGGTGAGGTCATTTCTTGCTCTGCACATGACTACAACTGACAACAGTCGCTTTGTTTTCGTTCCTTTTTGAAGGTGCTGTCTCCTAACAAAAAAAAAAACAAAAAAGGAAGTCACTTTCCTCTGCAGAAATTCGGTGAGGCCGCCAGCAGGCCTTCGGACAATGTCGGGCCCCGGCGCCCAACACTGACTGGACCAATGCTGCTGTACCCGTATGGCTACGGAATATCGACTCTCTGCCGAGCTTCCACCGCATTAGCTTGGTACAGCTGCTCGACTGTCGTCGACTTCATTGAGGCCGGAACAAGAAATGGGTCAATTTATCATTCGAGGTACAAAGTGTAAGAACATAAAAGCGAAGTTGAAATACCGCACTGATATGTGCGGTGACGTGCCTCTGCACACATGGGGACCCTGCAGCCCAAAACGGAGCGCTCAAATGGATTTATTGTCAGGAACGCATCGTATTTGGTAAAGAAATGTCAATTTAACCCTTCCAGGGACAGCGGTGATCACGGTGGACATCTTATCATGTTGTCACGTTAAAGTACTCCCAAAAAATGGACTCCTTAGCAACGGCTATGTGCAATTCCCAGAAATAAATGTAATCAACACCACTTTTTTTCCCATAACATGACTTAATCATGCCAAATTTTCGTACCCATATACAAACAAGATCTTGTTAAAAAAAAAAAAAAATCACTTTTGATTCTGAAGAAACCTTTCAGCGTTTGCCCAGCATTTGTTTACTCCACCAGGGATTGCATTATGGCCTCTTGTTGGTCCACACGTGTAATGACAACTTTTGAAATGAAATCTGAGGCTGAAGGGAACCCCAAAAACCTTGTGTTGACACCAGACTTTTTTTTTGGATGCATAGCAGCAGCCGCTTAGGTTGGTTGATTTTTGGACTTTGGGTCATGAAGATGTCACCGCACGATTTTTCGAGATATTAAGGGAAAGAAAATCACACCAATTCCAAGCGGGGACTGATCGCGACTTCTTTTTCTGGTGTTTGAATCACAACTATGACAATGGATCATTTTCACATGGTCAACGCTTTTGGGGCTCCGGCTCGAAACATGGCCGCCCGACTTCCGATCGGTTTCGTGTCGGAGGGTCACACTGGATTTTACAATGTATAATTCAGGATTTTAATTGGAGCGACAAAATGAATGCGGACGTATGATGACATTGTTGATGATATTGTTTTAGGTTCCACCACGTTCGACAGAAAAATTATTGACTGTCTTTTTGCATGCATGGCACTTTTTTTCCCTCCAACCATTAGTAACAAAATAACTTATTACTTACTGTAATCAACATTTATATTTTGGAGAAGACATGTTACTTTCTTTTATGTTCAAGTCTTATGAGTTATTTTGTGAATAACTTAGAACACATCGATTTTGTTGAACACGTCATTTTGTACATTACACGTATTGCACAAAAATGTCCTAGATGTCAGCGCGCTCCCGATACCCGTCATGCTCATCGCACACGTACGCTAGCTGGCTGCCATTTGCTTTGACAGTCTGGAGTAGGTAGCCCCCATTCTCACCTTCCATGAAGGCGTAACACAGACTACACAATACTACCTATGAATGTTTCATGTTGCTGACTGCTGTTGATTTTGATGTCGGTTTATTGACTGGTTCCAACACCAGGCTGTACTTGAAGTGCCTGGTTTCTCTCATTTCTGCACATTTAGTGAAAGGTTGGTTAAAATGGAGGAGTCCAACCTCCGAGTCGAGATTGTGCGCTGGGTAGATTTTGGCTCCTAGATGTCAGCGCGCTCCCGATACCCGCCATGCTCATCGCACACGTACGCTACTTTTCTTGCCCTTTCCTTTGACAGTCTGGAGTAGGTAGCCCCCATTCTCACCTTCCATGAAGGCGTAACACAGACTACACAATACTACCTATGAATGTTTCATGTTGCTGACTGCTGTTGATTTTGATGTCGGTTTATTGACTGGTTCCAACACCAGGCTGTACTTGAAGTGCCTGGTTTCTCTCATTTCTGCACATTTAGTGAAAGGTTGGTTAAAATGGAGGAGTCCAACCTCCGAGTCGAGATTGTGCGCTGGGTAGATTTTGGGCAGGATCGTCAACAGTCTTGACCGGAACGCAATCAGTGGAAAGGCAGCGGCTGCCCTTCATTCTTGTTATTCGATCTTTTGATTCATGCTTAGCACGTTTCTTATTGGTGGGTGGACATCCCCCATCCTCGGTCATGTCTCGTTCTGTTATCATGTTTTGCTTGGCTTGTGGAGATTCTTGACCATTGCATCTTTATGTGAGGGGACTGTATGTCACAACTGTTTGCGGTTCCACTGTGAACTGAAAAGCTTCGTCATTTGGAATAGTAGTTGGTTGTTTCATGTTACAACAATTGTTTTGTGTAATTATATGAATGAAAATAGAATCTGTATAAATGAAAGCACAAATAAAGTACACTGATGTGTAGTGTTGTTGATTGATATACGGAAATCGACGCAAGATTCCGTTTCCTCACAAATGAACAGCAAACTGCGACATTTGGAAGCACTCTTTGGAACTCTGAAGTATCGTTTGTTGTCGCGAGTTGTGACGAAGTGTCTGCATCATAACAGCTGCGATTACTGCGGACTCCCCTCGTCACCATATGGAGGTGGGAAAATCTCCCAAAGAGGACCGGGCTGTCGCAGATTCACGGCTGCCTGTGGGTGCACCGTCACCGGGCACAGCTCTACCGACGCCCCGCTAACTCGCAATCGAGGCAACACGATGAAAAGACACAAGACGGCCACAGACTCTCTTGGGAGATCACCGATGAGTGGAAAGCTGCTGTCCACATCAAATGCGATCTCTCTCTCTGATCCTTTCGCGTTATCCGGTACACGTGACACTGAACCGGAGATGATCTTTCCACACAATTTGAAAAGATTTAAAAGAAAAACATCAATGTCAAACTTTATATGCAAACAAGTACACATTCATAAAATAAACTAAAACAACAGCAGCGCCAGTAGTTCGGACTGTATTGCAAAAACAAATCCACAAGGTGTCGCTGTTGGTTCGGTTGTTGTACGACAGGGGCTGAACGACACTTCTTTCAGTTTAGTAGGATCTGTTTGCTTTCCGACGGTAATGGTTCCCCTCCCACTGAGCAGCCCTAAACGAGGGAAGCAAAGTCGTTTTATAGTACAAGTGCATCCAAATAACATTTCGAAAATAATATTTGACCGTGATCTCGGCTGGCGTCACCAGCCCATCAATCAAGAGAAGATGTGAAAAGGCACACGGGCTGTCCACTTGGACTCTTCTGCAGTGAAACCAAATCTGGCACCTGCTTGACTATAAATCACATGCTGCCATATATAAAAGTAAGTAACTTAGAGCTTTAAAAATACACGTACAGTATGAAACTGCAGTGTCAATCAGTCCTGCTCATACCAAGAAAAGTACGCCCCCCTTTACCCAGATAAGTTTCTCCATGACAGTTTATACTGTCAGACTCAAATAAACGGCTTCGAATACACAGTGATGCACTACAACTCTAACCCAATGTCATGAAGAGAAGAATAAAGGTCCAGAGGAAGGAAAAAAAAAGATGTAGCATACCTTGTTGTCTCATGATCCATCCATCCATTTTCTGATCCGCTACTCGTCAACAAAAGATAAAGGTTGTGTTCATTTTACATTTCACGGATGGAATCACACATGCAGTTAAAAAGAACATGTTCCACAATATGTTGCCTTGAAAACAAAGCGAGAGATGTAAAGCGCGTATTGAGTATATAGACACATTATATTACTAATGTTACATATCGAAATATCGGATGCGAAAATGGACCGTCGGCTTGAAAAACCAAAAACAAAACACATTGATTTGTATGTAAATTTCCCCCCGTCCTGAATGTGGCGCTGTTGGATGGAAGCCCCACCGTGGAAATCCGCTCGCCCCTCTTGATGGCGACCTTCTTCTGCTCTGCGCCCATTGGCTATTTCACGGTCTCTTCCTGATACGTAATTGTGGCGTCACGGTGTCAGTTTGCTTGCTTGAGGTGCCGAACGGTGCAGGAAGTCTTGAGGTGAAGCGGTGCAAACAAACAAACATTTAGTGGCGTTTGGTTTTGGTGAGCCGAATTCCCCCAGATAACAATGTCTCGGGGTTCCGAGCCTGCGGCCAGCGACATCGGTGTCGTGGGAGACATCAAGAAGGAAAAGAAAGTGGCTCTCATCACCGGCATCACCGGACAGGTAACGCAAACCCTCCTTGTCGCCGCACCGACGACACCGTTGAGGGGTTTAGTCAAGTGAAAACCGCAAATGTCGCTTTTCATGAGATCTCCTTTTACATTAGCGGAGAATCACATGTGTCGATCCCCCAATGCTGCTGCCACTATAACGGTTCCTCTCGAATAGTTGGAGAGTTTGGTGCCACTCGGTCTGTACAAAACTCAAAACGGGTCTATGTGCGAGTTTTTAAAGCGCGATACCCACAGCCTGTAAACATTGGTCACTTGTCAGGTTCATCATCTTATTCCTTAGACATAATCAGAACATTTGCAGTTTGGTCGTCTGAAATGTCAAATGTGCGGCGACTGTGCCATTGGGAAGAGGTGTGACCAATCATTATTATTACAGTATTTTAATGATTGTTGTTATTGTTATTATTCTCTGCGTTCTCACACTCATCGATGGTCACGAGCTATGAGTCTTGACTGAGAGAACAAGAACATGTGTCCCGCGGGTGGCTGGGCTCGTTCCCAGGCAGAGGCCGGAAAGTCTGGTCATCTGCTGATCCTCCGCATCGAGAGGAGCCACATGAGGTGGCTTGGGCTCCAGTTTTGGATGCCTCACGAACGGCTCTCTGCTGATGTGTTCCGGGCATGTCCCACCAGAGGAGGTACCCCCCCCCCCCCCCCCCCCATGACTCAGGACACACCGGGGCGACTGTCTATCGGCTGGCCTTGGAACTTCAACACCTTCGGATCTGCTGAAATGGTGGCGGAAGCGGGAGTCTGGAGCCCGCGCAACCTGGTCCCGGATAAGCACACAAAGATGGACGGACGGCCCTCTCATATAACTTTTGGATGTCTGGGAAAATCCTTTTCAGATGTGACAAACCGCAAACACAAGAACAATGTTAACTGGCGTTTCTTCAACCAGTCAAGATAATATTGTTGCACAGCGACTCCATTCTTCTGGCTAGACCATCTGAAGAAGTTACTTGCTGGGCCATGAGGTCACAGTGCTCATAAATTGCTTGACTAACTATTGCTCATAAATTTGAAGGTGGCATGCTGCTTTGTGGGAATACCTTTGACTCGGCTGTCAGCGTGAAGTAATGGGGTGAGAGGGTGTGAGTTACGAGAAACCACCTGAGTGCCAAGGCAGCGGTGTGCAGAACCGGGAGGGCTTGTGGCCGAATGTACTGCTTTATGATCGTGGGGGGGGGGGGGTTACCAAAAGTACAGGCTCATCCTCGTTGTCTGATGGTTACGGTTGACTACTTTTGCTTTTTGGTTTGTCAGGCGGCGCAGGCACCCGCAGCGGCTCCTTTTGTTGTCTTGTCTGGTTGAGAGGGAAGAAATTTCATCTGTGCTGTATGTTGCACTTAAAGCGCATTTGACAATAAAGTTGTACTTGACTTGACTTTGCCTCTCTTGCTATGGTCCGCTGCCATACGATCCTACAAGGCCCTGTCGTTCCTCTTTTGTCGGCATTCCATGAAGTCCCTTGATGTGTTCCCGGTTTGCAGCAGATGAATGCAGTCTGACAAGTTCCGGGAATAGTAGTCATAAAGCGATAAAGTTTAGTGCCAAAGTCAATACATTTTCCCTATCAGCGTCATGATCCGCCTTCCATCCTTATTTGTCTTAGCCCAGGTGTCGCCTGTTGACCAAGTTTAAAAAATGTTTTAATCTCAAGGATGTTCCCAAGTATTATTCTTAATGAGATGGCTCGCATAGAGTAAGGAGTTTTCTTTGCACCCCGTACAAACCTGATTTTCTTCTTTTAGACTTTGGTTTGGCTGTGTTGAGTTTGGCGTACATGTTAATGAGCCCGACAGAGTTCACTTGCAGTTTAAAGGGGGCCTGAGGGGGGAAGCTTTTTACAGAGAGAGAGAAAAATACATTTATCTATCTATTTATTTATCTTTCTATTTAATTATAAAAGGCACACGATGGAACTTCATCATCTTCACCTCTTAAATGAATATGCATTTATTTCCACCGCAGGACGATTTTCCTGATTTTGAAGTGATAATTGCAGATCCAAGTCACAGAATTCCCCAAGTGACAAAGTTTCTTCCTTTACCAGCAGGGGGTGCCAAACTTCCAGTTATGTATTGTGATTTATTTCCCCATCCAATCTTTTTTTTTTTTCATCGTTGCTTTAAAACAGGAGCTTGATGTGTCTGTGTCTGGTATGTAGATGTTGAAACTACATCTCTCACTTTGAATTTTGCACCGCGGGACACGTCATCTCTCCGTCTGCTTCTATTAGTTGTTAGCTGACTAAACGCTTGGAGCCGCACGCAGTCTTTTACGCGCTCAATATGACAAGTTTACAGCAATCATTCAAACAATAACGCAAGCCAACCTGTCTGTGGCTTTATCACTTCCAACTTTTCATGTTTATTGAAACAAACGTTTAAAGACGTGGACTGGACTTTTCTGGATGCGATATAAAATAGCTAACCTGAGGTTGACGCAGAACCGTCCAACACTGCGATGCGTAACCGTTCAACATTGCAAATGAAGTGTAGCAGTCTGGTTGGAACGGTGTGAAAGTGGAGAGCATCCAACTTGGAGCAGCACAAGAGCGGGCAAATTCAAAAGTGTCTGGACTCTGGTGAGAGTCCTCAAATCTAAAGAGAACCGTGAGAAACCGGAAATGGGGAGGGGAAAAAAAAAACAAAACCAAAAGAAAAATCCTCCTCCAAATTAGGACGTTGTTCCTCAAATGAAGTCATTGACTTGCAAAAAAACAAACAAAAAAAACAAACAAAGAAAAATGAATTAATTCAAGCCTTATAACTGGGGGGGAAAAAAGAAATTAAATTGCATCCAGGATAACAATAATTCCGAGTCGGTTTTGTCATTTTACCGTGGCAGGTGAGCCTGAAATCGCTCAACAGTATTTGTGTGTTCGACCCAATCGTCAACTCTCCATAACAGGAAACAGTGAGGTGAGGCCCGGGGCTTCTGGGCTAAAATGGCTTTGAAGGAGCTTCTTGTTTTCAAACAGAGCTGCAGCTCTTCGGGCATTTTTTTTTTCTCCCCATATTGGTCGGGGCGTGGGATGCTTTGACTCTGGCATAGAGGAAGGAAAACATGACACCAGCTGGAGCTCTGAATGCTACCAAGAGCTAAGTGGGCTACCTTGACCTTTCTCCTAATCTACCGTTTACAGCTCAAGCCTTATCAATCACTTCCACCCTCGTTTTCACGGTGCAGATGCAGGCCTCGTAGAGCGCGGCTGTCAAACTGCGGTCCTCGAGGGCCACTCCTATCCTGCATGTTTTTGATGTTTTCCCTCCTTCGACACACCCGATTCAACGGATCAGGATCGTTATCGGCCTTCTATAGAGCTTGCTGATCATTTGAATCCGGCGTATTGGAGTAGAGAAACATCCAAAGAAGTTAGTGTGTGTGTGTGTGTGTGTGGGGGGGGGGGGGGGGGGGTTTGCACCGTAAACTCCTCGGCAGACTTGGCCAGAATGTAGTGAAGCAGGATCTACCGGCGACTAAGCTTCCATCATGACTGTTAAGTGAGCGCAAGAAGCCCTGGGTGTCCCTCAGCCTTTCTCTCCATGTACTTGGCCTTCTGCCTTCTGTTATTTGCCAGACCTGGACAGGAAGTCCAGGTCTGGCGTGTGCCAGAGTGCGTTTGTATACGTGCGCATATGTGAGTGGCATTGAGGGATAAATGCCATGACTGGCTCCGAATGTTCCCCAGTGTCGCAGAATGTGCGGTTGGAAAGTCTGAGGATGGAAAAAAGACGAATTTAATAGATGACGGGAACAAGACAGGCTTCACCCTTTCACACATGAATACGCACATTGAATAGCCGTGATCCTACGCGGGCCTGGAAGATCTCTGGAGCGCTGTTTTAAAGTTTTCGACATGGTGGCAATCCAACTCGGTTTAAGGGACGTTTGCATGTTTTTCAGCACTCGTGCCAGCAGGCTTCATGTCGGAGGACTTGAGCCTTTTTGGGTGTTGACCCTGTCAGGCCGTCATGAGCCTTGTTGTGGCGGCCCCGCCAGGAGTGGCACTGGACTTTTACATTCATGACATACTTTATTCAGTTAGATTTTTGTATTCCATAAAAACACAATATGAAAATAAAATAAAATAAATAAAAAGCATAAGCACACAAACAAAGTAAAAAGTGAGTGTATGAATGAGTGAGTCTATTGAGTGCTCTTTGTTGTCTCATCTTGTCATTTATAGGATGGGTCATACCTGGCAGAGTTTCTGCTCTCCAAAGGATATGAGGTAAGAAAGAAAGCCAGGCGGCAGATTTGGCCAAGATGTTATTTGTTCTCGTCTAACATCGAGCTTCATCGTATCTTCTACATCCTCAGGTTCATGGCATTTTGAGACGTTCCAGTTCGTTCAACACAGGACGCATCGAACATCTTTACCAGAACCCACAGGCGCATACTGAAGGCAGTAAGTGTCTTTTCTGCAGTTTTCTTCATGAATCAAGCAACCACAATGAAGTTGTAAAATGTCTTGCCAAACCCATCATGAGCCCCCGGTTGTTGCCCCGATCGGTCGGGCCCAGACTAGCGACATGAGGCTGACCTCATGCCCCTTTATCTAGCCAGGCCAAAAGACAGCGCTGGCATTTTGATTGTCTGGGGCTGCTTTGTTACTTCAGGACTTGGACGACATGTTATTTGTCACGGAACAATGAATTCTGCTATCTCCCAGAAAGTCCTGCAGTCCAGCCATCAGTCAATGCCATCAAGCTCGAACGCTTTTGGGTTATACAGCAGAATAATGCCCCACCCCCACCACCTAAACAAATAAAACATTATGGTTTTGGAGACAGTCTTGGATCTAATTGAGATGTTTTCAAAACCCTCCAATGTAACCGAGTTAAAACAATTCTGGATCATTCCTTGGATAGTGAATAATTTACACTCACATTCATTCATCATATTAGATGTAATGTTCATGTTACTTTCTTTGCCAGATATGAAGCTGCACTATGGTGACCTGACAGATAGCACGTGTCTGGTGAAGATCATTAACCAAGTCAAACCGACAGAAATCTACAACCTGGGTGCTCAGAGTCACGTCAAGGTAGCATCATCTCATTTCTTATTCCCGGTAGCCCATATTAACATTTTGGTTGATAATTGTTGGCATTATTTGTATGTGGCACTTGCCCATTTTGTATGTATGTATGTTGTGCACACACGACCGGACTTCCCCATTCAACTCTTCGATGTTTGTTTTCATACCAACAAAGCAGGCTTTGGTAACACCTACACCTCTGAACAACCGAGTCTGCTATTCATCTGACAATATAAGTCGCCGAGATGATTTCTCTTTGGTCTCACTGGAGTGTGTCACCACAGAGGAAAACATCAGTCACCCAGACAACTTCTGTTTCTTCCCAGCAGCTTTCGGTCTGCTCTGCATGACGGGGAATTCCCTTTGACGCTCGTTCAGGCTCATTCAGGGGGCTTGACTTATTGCGATTGTAGCGAGATAGAGCTTGGCTTAATGGTCTCCTCTCTGGATTTACTTCAGTTGGCGGCTCTGCTCTCAGGGCAATGTGCTGGAAAGACAGGGAAAGAAAATACTTCTTAAAGCCCTCAGCTGTCTTGAACAGCGCTGTGATTTTTGTTTTTTGCCCCCTTCATGAGTTCAGATTTGTTTTGCATATCGATCACATTTAAATGTTTCAGTTTCAATATCCAATAAAGTGGAGAAAGTACATGCCCCCTGAACCGAACTGGTTGTTCCACCCTTGGCCCCGAGAACTAAAATCAAATCATTGCGGCTGAAGAGTCTTTAGGACCCCTTAGGACCCCACTCTCTCCTTTGCAGGATCCTTTTAACTCGGCCAACATGGAAGGTTTTAGAGCATGAACATATAAGGTCAGATTGCATATCTCAATGAGATTTAAGTCCAGACTTGGACGTGGCCACTCCAAAACCTTCATCCCACGCATAAGTGGGGCTTCTCCATTTCCTCTGGCTCCCTCCCACATTGCAAAAGCATGCACGTCAACTGAATTGACGACTCTCAATTACCCACCGCAGTGAGTGTGAATTGTTGTTTGTCGAACCGTGCCTTGGGATTGACTCACGACCGGTCTCGGGTATACGCCGTGTCGTGGGATCATCTCCAGCGAAAGCATGTCACGCCGGAATGATTTTCCTGTTTGGTACGTCATGAAATTGAGTCTCCAACGGACGTGCCTTGACATCCCCAGAAAGGCAATGTGACAACGAGTGCCGACGTCGTAGTCCTCTAACGACGGGCTGTCTGTGTGGGGACTGATTTCCGCTGGAGAAGATTATGCCGAACTACTTGAGGGTGCTTGCAAGGTTCATGACGGTGCCGGCATACACCTCACTGCTTTTCACTTAAGTTTTTCCTGTACAAATACTGCCTTGACTGCAATTCTGACTTGAGTCTCAGCGTATATGTTCAAAATATGACATAGGCAATCTTTTCAAAATCCACCGTCTTTTTGGTCTTCATTAAAGTGGGTCACCTCATCGTGACAGTGGGTCCCTCCCGGGGGAGAGGGGGGGCACGGTTGAGACCCACTCACTGTTATTAAACACGGATTGGTGGATATTAAAAAGATGCAAACACTGGACCGGGCCGTGGTGTGTTCACCGGCCAGTCGGAGTGGCCTGCCGCTCCGACCAATCCCTTTATCAAAAGGTTAGGCCCGAATACAAGACAGCCTGACTTGCCTTCAGATGTCGAAAATGAACTTTAGCTTAAGAATAGGCCCGCTTGTGCCAAGTGAAACATGTCTGCACTTTCCCTATTGAGAGTCGAGGAATGTATTGCGGTTGCCCTTTGTGGGTCACAATTGTTGCTCCATTCATGAGTCAGTTGTCTTACTTTTTTTAAGTCAACGCGTCAGCGCCGGACAGAGACGCTGATGTCCTTGAAGAGTGAGAGTGCGGCGGCTTCGGTCAGCAAATCTAGACAATGCATCGTGTCGCTTGCCAAAATCAGCTTTTGGAAAATCAAGCCTCCAGTTTCGAAAAGTCCAAATCAACTGCTCAAATGGAGTTTCACAAATAGGTGGCAGCATTCAGCCATCGCAGCCGACTCCCTCGGGATCTGAGCTCAGCAAATCCAATCAAGCCTAGTCTGGAAATGTATTTTATTTTTCAAGTGATTGAAAAACAAAAACAACCCCCCCACCCCCTCCCGCCCCCACAATGATAATACCACTTAGTGCATTACTGAACGAAAACTGCGTTAACTGACAAATTGTCTTGTAACCTTTTGAAAGCTGCAGCTCACAATGGCGTATTCTTTTCTGTGAAGCCCAACTCGGCAGGGGCGTGTGCGGTTTATTTACGAAAACGACGGCGGAATGTGCTCATAAAGCTTCTCGGGGCAAAGCCCTCTGGAGGTTGGCACATTCTGTTACAGTTCCACCTTAGCGGTCGAGGTGTTTAGGAGTTACGGTTTGAAGTGCTGCTCGCTCTTGTGCTTGTTCATGAGAACGTGCGGCCGGGCCGTTAAAAGGAACGTAAAATAAATCAATTGCAGTCATTACGACCGCTGTTCTCCCTTGCTCCGTGATTAGCCGTTTCCTCGCTCGCCGCCCTCTATTTGGATGCCCACCAAATTTCTTTCTTCCTCAGAAAATGTCTGATATGATGCTTCATCCCTGACTTATTTTGACAAAAGCATCTGTGTGAAGACACCGGGGAACTTTTAAATTCGGAACCCTCGCTATTTACAGGTGATAGAAACCAAGTCTCTCTGTGAAAGGCCCCGAGTAATGGACCGTCCTAAAACTCTTTAGTATTTCCCTCCATTCATCCATCCTTTTTTCTTATTCTTTTGTCAAGGTGGAGGGAACACAGAACAGTTCCAAACGCTGTTCAATCTTGGAAGAGGAACCAAAAATATCTTGGAAAGCTTTCTGCTCAGTGATAAATTATTTGATTTTAGCTGTGTTTGTTTATCTAGTCGGTTTTATTTGGATCGAGAGTGCCTCAAAACAAATCTCATATGTGGCAGATTGAGTATTTCCAACCTTTTAAAGCATTCTGATTTTTGTCAAACTGCATTTTTTTTTTGTCTTTTAAATGTTGGAACATGCCCGGAATGCATGCGTCTCATTCATTTTGCTGTTTGCCGCGGCAAATGTGTTGCACAAGTAGGAGCCGCGCTCCCTCACAAAACCATCACGTTCACCGTGCCCGTGAGGAGCCGAGCGTCTGTCAGGGCGTCTTTTTGGAACGGCTCCAGGAGTGTCATTGCGGTATGCTGTTTGCATACAAGTGTAACTGTTGTTTGTGGTTGCCACAGACACAATGGGAGCGCTCATTTTCTTTGTGCGCGTCTGTTGATAACCTGCTGTCAGAATCCGAGATGATATGCATGATGCGCGGGTGTCAGCAGAAGTCCAAAGAATTGCGGTTGAAATACGTGTCCAAGAAAAAAATTGGAAACTAACATCTGAGCTTGTTAAGTCAGGTTGGCTGTTGCATGTACACGATTCGCAATTTGCTATTGTTGCCTTAAATCTCCCAAGTGTCAGTCTATCGCCCTTCTCGTCTGGAAGATTCATGATGCTGCTGACATTTTTTTTTCCTCTTCCCCCCCCCCCGCAATGATGTCTTCACAAACAACCTTTTTGTAACGCAATGGCAATCAACGTTACCTTTGTCTGGGCCTAGCGTTTCCTCTATCTCATACGGACAGGAAGTAAGTGACGGGATCTGGCTCTTGGAATATGTAGATGAAGTTGAAGGTATCGGTAGAGTGGAAGCGGTTTCAAATGCAAGTCTTAGAACGGGTCACTGTGAGCCCGGGTCGATATCCGCTCCCACGCCGCAAACGCGTAAGTCGACCTGGGCTGAGCAAGTTGCGGTCAGAGTTAGAAAGTCTGCCTGCTAATCTAGCAGAGGAGTGGACAGAATCTTCAGGGACATAAAAAAAAACGCACTCACATGCTAATTGACGTTGTATAAATGTTTTGCATTTCTGCTCGATTCAGTCTCAACAGTCTTCCGACTTCACAATCCCGCATTCTGTGTGTGTGTGTGTGTGTGTGTGTGTGTGTGTGTGTGTGTGTGTGTGTGTGTGTGTGTGTATATAAAGTATGTTCTGCGGAGCAAGCAGCTGGGCAGCCAGAGGTTGCACTTGCGGTTAAACCAGGTTGCTTTTGGATCGTGGGATAGTGTGGGTCAGCTGAAGTTCTTCCTTCATGTTTCTCCCCCGGGCTGATCATGATCTGTCAATCAATTGCTGATTTTGTCGCAGCACCCGTTGATGCACTTTTTTTCTTTTTTTTTTTCTTTTCGTAGCAGCGTTTTGAGCTACTGCAAACATTTTGCGCCTTTGTAGTTGTGAATATATTCTTTATATATTGTACACCACGTATCAAACTCAAGGCCCGGGGGCCAGATCTGGCCCGCCACATCATTTTATGTGGCCCGCAAAAGCAAATCATAGATGTCAACTTCCATGATGCAACTTCCAAAATTCTCATATTTAATAAGAGACATATTGTAAGCATTTTCTTGTTACCAAACCCCTCATTCCAGTAACTTACACAATAGTTGAATAAACCATTCTTATTGATTTATTATTATTATTTTTATATATGGTTTCAGTCATAATGGCCCTCCAAGGGAAACCGTAACTAAAATGTGGCCCACGACAAAAATGACTTTGACACCCCTGCTGTACACGTTCCGCTTGAGTGGTCAGCTCGCATTTGTTGGAAGTATCTCTTCCAGGAAATATGGCTCTCTCTTCGCACGGTTGCGGTTTAAGGGGTGGAAGGAAGGAAAAGCTTTTCTGCTGTCCTACGTGGCAGGGAGAAAGTCTTTCCCTTGATAGCTGCAACTAAGTGGAGGGCATTTCCTTTCCCGAAAACCCTTTGGCTCCCTGAAAGACTAGCCATGCTGCATTGGGGCGAGCCGACATTCCAAGCCCTGTTCTGATGTTCCCACCCTAGGAGAGAGCTAAAAGTCATTGTCTTTGCATGTGCATTTGTGAGGTCCGTGGTCGCTCTCGTTCACTCCCAGTCGATCGCAACTGGACAACTCAATTTGCCTCTCGTCCAAGCAGGCTTTGTCCGTTTGTGCCCAAAAGCTAGACGGGAGTGGTGCATAATGCAAATATGTATCCTCGACGGTCGAGGCACGCCCAACCAGGAATGCTTTCCCTCTTTTGGGATGTAAATTAACAGTAAATGCTTTGGAGAGAAGGTTGAACTGTGCCATGACTCCAGCGCCTGGTGGCCCTCGCCGTGGAGCCGCACCTCAAGGCCTGGCTCCTGACGTGTTAGGCAAGGGAAATCCTGATCCAATGTTTTTAATCATCATCGTGGGTCCGTGAGCCACGCTTCGTCTGGTCCTTCACCTCTGACCCCGTGTTAGTCAGAGGCGACCCTGCCAGACAACTTATCTCCGAGGATCATTGGAACAATTTGAACCTTTTCTTCGGCTACATGATTTGTGTGGCTGCGGCTGTGCTGGTGTCGCTTATCGTCTGGCGCTGTGGTCCGCGTGCGTCGTCGTAACGGCGTGCGTGCAGTTGCACCTGCAGAGGTGGCAGCGTTGGCCTAAGCTGACTGTTATTTCAGGACCATGTAAGCAGTGTATGCTTGGCTGCGTCAGTGCATAGTTGTGGGCTGAGGTTGGTTGCTATGTCGGCGGCTTCCTGCGCTCACAATGACAACATTCATCAATAGAATAATGCGTATTGGGAAATGCATGGGGCCAGTTGCCCGCTGTGGTGTGTGGGGAAGGGCAACGGGGTTGAAAATGGGTGCGCTAGTCAGCGAACGGGTGGAGAAGACAATGCCAATTTGCCGAGCGGCTTCTGCGATCGGAGTTGATGCTGGGGGCTGATTCCAAATTGTTGACTTCGTAATCTCGGCTGGGCTTCGTCTGTGAGACTCCCTTTCAAAAGTGAGAGACAATTTCATCCTTCACAGACAGCCTTATTTGCTTCCATTGACCAGACGTGGTACGTTGAAACGAGGTTCCGCCGTACCCGCTGCAGGTGAAGTCAGCCCAGTGAAGATTTTTGGAATCGTCTCGGTGGTTCGATTCAGTGAAGTCTTAGTTGAACACATATGTTCACTCTGCCCCTCTACTCGAGCATTCATTACATACGTGTGTAGATAAGTGGCGCGGCAGGTGAGGAAAAAAAAATAGGTGCTTATACTTTTCACAGCGTGTGCGCGCGTGCGCATGTGCGTGCACATATAAAATCACGATGTTTAAGTGTCCCAATTCCAACAAGATGAGACTGGAGGAGAGTCTCTGTCAGCACGTCATTTTTTTTTCCAAGGTGTGTTGTTTGTGTATCTGTGTGCAGCAACAGTAGCTTAGGCTACAGCATGCCATTTGTAAAAACAGCTATTTAGATGAAGTCCTCAAACGAAACGGGCAAGATGCTCTTCGACTGCAGACTTTCAGCTTAAATTTGAGTGTACGACATCCAATTCAGGGGAACATGATAAAAATATTCCAAGAAAAAAATAGACATACATAATCACAATGTTCCCGCAACATACGAGAATGTTCCTGAGAGGTCATGATGGATATCGGCATGCCTGTTGAGAACATCCTCATTTATAAACTGCATTTTGTGTTGACACCTCTGCACTGTGAGGCAGATGTGCTGAGCGCTCGACCGCCGTGCCGCCAACATGAAGACACATTACGACCAAAAAAAAAACAAAAAAAAAAAACTGGGGCTGTTCATGCTCAGTGGTCGTCTCCCAATAAAGAAGTTGGTGGTTCATTACCTGGCCAGTATGACCTTGTCGAAGTGTCCTTGAGCACAATACTGAACCCCGGTTGCTCCTGATGCTCCATCATCAGTACCTAAATGAGGAAAGTGCTTTGAATACCCAAGGTCGAAAAGCGTGAGATAAGCGACAGCCTATTTACTGGCGTTGTCTTTGTGATTGGACTATGGCTTGTTGAACCCAAATGTTCATGTGTGATAAATATGCAAAATAACATACATCAGTAAGGGTGCAAAATCTTTTCATCATGGGGCACTCTTATTTCAAAGGAGAATTGCTGTTGCATGCTGTTACACTGAGCTGCACAGAAATTCACCCTGATCAAACGTGTGTGTGTGTGTGTGTGTGTGTGTGTGTGTGTGTGTGTGTGTGTGTGTGTGTGTGTGTGTGTGTGTGCGTGTGCGTGTACGTGCGTGCGTGTGTGTGTGAGAGAGCGAGAGAGCTTGCAATAGGTACTGGTACAGAGAGGCCCAGTGTTCGTAGTTGCCATAAATAAGGCCTCTTTATTTGCCCGTGTGTGCAGAGCTGATGGAGAAGCACTAACGGGCCAAGGCGTTTCCTCGCAATTGGCCTCCTTGCCAGGTGTGGTGACCACTAACCAGGAAGGATTTGAACTTGTCATGCGCCTTCAGCCAACCCAGGATGTCGATAAGCACAGACAGAAACTCTCGGCTGCACACGCCGTACCTGTGTGGGCGCCTCCATTTCCAACTTCAGCTCAATTTGCGTTCCTGAAGTTGGCCTCCCTCTCGGCTTTCCTGTCTGGAAACGGGCATTCTGGGAGTAGAAAATTTGGGATTGGCTCCAATGGACTCCCGGAACGTGTTTTGCTACCTCCTTGGGATTTGTGAGTGATTGTTCCAGACAAATGTGAAGTGGAAGGGGCCCTGGACTGTTGTAGGTTTTCAGTTCAGCCAACTCATGAAACGGCTTTCATCAGACGGCCTTCAAACAATATGTAAAAGAGCATTCACTCACTATCCAAGTGTTTCATGATTCCTTCTCATCCCTCGACTTGCAAAACTTTTCGACGAAAAAGGCTTCCGTCAACCTACTGTGCATGTTTTGGAAATATGAGTGGGAGCTGGCTTACCAGGGGAAAACCCAAGCAAAGAGGGAAAACATGAAAACCCCACACAGGAATGTCCAAACCGAGATTTCAACCTACAACTGTTCATTGTGAGGCAGATACAAGAACAGTATTGCTCATTTGTTCAAGAAGAAGGTTTTTGATGTTGCCTTCTGGTGAGTGTTTGTCAGAAACCGTGTGCTTTTAAATGCGATGACGGTTCACTGGAGCAGTTGGTAGCAGTGTGTGAAACGGGAGGAGGAAAATCTGCATCTCCAAATTTGACACAATGGTTGGAGTGGAATGAGATCTTGCCCCAAGTGGAAGAATTGAAGTATCTTGGGGTCTTGTTCACGTGCGAGGGTAGAGTGGATCGGGAGATCGACGGGCGGATCGGTCTCGCGTCTGCTGTGATGCGGACTTTGTATCGGTCTGTCGTGGTGAAGAAGGAGCTGAGCCAAAAAACAAAGCTCTCAATTTCCCGGTCGATCCATGTTCCTGCCCTCACCTCTGGTCACGAGCTGCGGGTCATGGCCGAAAGAACGAAATCCGCGGACACGAGTGGCCGAAGTAAATTTCCTCCGCAGGGTGTCTGGGCTCTCCCTTAGAGATAAGGTGAGAAGGTGGGTCATCTGGGAGGGACTCAGAGTCGAGCCGCTTCTCCTCCATGTTGAGAGGAGCCAGATGAGGTGGCTCGGGCATTTGACTAGGATGCCTCCTGGACCGGATGCCTCCCTGCTGAGGTGTTCCAGGCATGCCCCATCGGCAGGAGGCCCCGGGGAATGACCCAGGACACGCTGGAGAGACTATGCCGCCCAGCTGGCCTGGGAACGCCTTCCCGGGATGAGCTGGACGAAGTGGCTGGGGAGAGGGAAAGTCTGGGCTTCTCTACTAAAGCTGTTGCCCCCGCGACCCGACCTCGGATAAGCGCTCGAGAATGGATGGATAGATGTCTTATAAATTTTTTTGTAGGGTTTATTTCTTTTTGGAATGAGCCACGTTTTTGTCTTTTCCTCAGATCTCCTTTGAATTGGCTGAGTACACGGCTAACGTGGACGGCGTGGGAACGCTTCGTCTTTTGGACGCGATCAAGACGTGTGGCTTGACCAACAGCGTCAAGTTTTACCAGGCCTCCACGAGCGAGTTGTACGGCAAAGTCCAGGAAATCCCACAGACGGAGACCACGCCCTTCTACCCTCGTTCACCTTACGGTACATGCACTCGTAGCCGCCGTCAAGTCCCGTGTTTTTTTTTTTTTTTTTTTTTTTTTTTTTTTAAGTGATCCGCTGCTTGACGTTGGCCATGTTCAGACACACGACGAGTCGCGTGTGCCGCTCGTCTGTGTATGGCGGTGTTGCAAGAGAGAGATTCGTTGCGCGAGCCACTTATTTGCTCTCCACACAACCTGAGGCCAAATGTCTTCCGTTGGACTGGAGTGGCTCTCGCTGAAACAAAGACACCTTTATATTCACGCGGCTCAGCACTCATTTGCGGCACGTAGATGCACGCACCGATGCACGCGCAGGCAATACACGTGTGCAAGCGATCCAGTTTCATTTTCTCCGTCGGGTAAATGCCCCGCTCGCTGACATTTCCCCCCATCTGTCAACACCCGAAACGAGGCTTCATGGGCGGGGGGGAGGTGGGGGCACATCCGATCATGAGGCCTGCTCGGCAATGAATTCATCATCACAAGCGGATGACATGGCCATGGAGACCTCTCTTCGCTTCCAGTGTAACCGGCGGGCGGCGCCGTGTTCAAATTGAGCCCAATTTTGGTCATGTGCTGATAGGATTTGAAATTGATGGAAGATTAGACACGGTGACACATCCTGGCCATCCAGGTCGTAAAATCATTTTGAATGGTTCCAAGAAGTGACATCATATTCACGCCCAGTCTCGAAGCCTGTCGATTAGGATTTTAGGAAGCGAACAGCGTTCGTAATCCATGGGAGAGTTTTATGAGAAGGTCCTGCTCTTCACGGGGGGCACTTTGAATCATGTGGACTGGCAAAGTCCATTGAGACCGCTTGTACTTTGGTCAACGTCAGGCGAAGTCAAGTCCAGATAAAAAAAAAAAAAAAAACAGTCGACCGTATCTGGTGTTGCAATGAAATACCGCAAATGAATGACATAAGATACAATCCAAAAATAATGGTTGGCCTTTTTTTTTTTTTTTTTTTTTTAACCCTGTGACTCATAAAGGTGCTGCCAAATTGTATGCCTACTGGATTGTGGTGAACTTCAGAGAGGCGTACAACATGTTTGCTGTCAACGGGATCCTCTTCAACCACGAGAGTCCAAGGAGAGGTAAGAGCGCACGAGTGACAAACGGAGTGTCTTTAAACCGCATCTTTTGTCTCATCCAACAGGCGGCATATGAAAATAATTTGGATCAATCGGTTTGATTGCCTTTTTTGGCAAGTGATTTTACTCGGGTTTTATTTTTTGCATAAAGGAACTCGGGAGCACCAGGATCCTACTCTCCATCTCTGCTTATTATCCTCGCGCTACCTGAAAAATAATAAAAAAAAAAAAAAATTTGGGCTGCTCCTCAAATGCATTTCAACACAGACTCATGCTTGGGTGGACAGGGTTGTAAACCAGGGGTGTCCAAACGTATTCATTTCCACAGCTTTCTGTGGAAAGGGTGTAGGCAAATAGTTTTTGGGGTGGCCGACTTAAACTTAAACTTGAATTATCTTTATTCACTTGAGTGTTTTGAAGATAAATTGTGTTTAGAAATCAAAATTGTGACGACAGCAAAAAGTTCTACTGTACACCCTGCCTTCTCACAAACCTTGCGGCACGTCATTTATATTATTATATATACTTTTTCAGTCATGTAGCGGGCCGTTGAAAAATGGCCGGCGGGCCACAAATGCCCCCTTGGCCGTAGTTTGGCCACCTCCGGTGCAATCGATACCAGTTCTCTCAGTGAGTATCTTTTTGTGGTAAGCCGTTAGGTTTTACTGGCTAAGCCTCTGACCTCGGTCGGGTTCGCTGTCAGGGCCTTCGTCGGGGTTTTTGAAATCACAAACACCTGAGTGGTTGACCCGGCCGCACCACTTACGATGAAGTCATGTGGTATTCATCTCGGGTCACGCTGGCGTGTAAATCAGGTTAAACCGGTGCCTGCAACCCTTCAGGGCATCGCGCACATATTAAAAATGTCACCGCAACCTCTCTTTTGTTCGTGTGTGTGTGTGTGTGTGTGTGTGTGTGTGTGTGTGTGTGTGTGTGCGTGTGTGTGTGTTTGGCTCTTTGCATGTGTGTGTGTGTGTGTGTGTGTGTGTTGTGATGTGTCATCGAATAGTCAGAACCCAGACTGGCCAATGTTTGTCTTTTCATATGAAACCATTCATGAGATAACAGTTTATAGTGAATAACACACCAATTGAAATGACGTTGGCATGTTACACTCAATCATCCTTCAAATGCAAAATATTTCAGTTCCATTGTTTGTCACTACGATCAGTAATGTGCCGGATTGTATCCCTTCATTTCCCTGCCAGGATTAGTGAGGTGTATTTTCGCTCGTGTATTGATCGCTCGACTCTACAATCAAACAAATAGCAGCCACATTCGTTCGTATCTACTAGTGACTGTTGCCATATTTTGCTCGCTGTAAGAGAAAAGGAGCATCTGCCGATTGTGCGCTCCCTGGGCGAAGTGATAGGAGTGTTGTTGGCAGCAATCTTTTTCTCACTGATGAATGAAGAATGTTTCAATGTCTCCGTGACAGAGCAAGTCACAAAGCGTGAACTTGAGGAACCACACCCAATGCGTGACAGTGCTATTATTAACCCTGCTGCTTGGTGATAATGTGCGAAAACATGAAATCCAAGAGAAGATCCATCTTGACGACAGTCCCCTCCAAATGTGTTGCAACGGCAAGGTCGCTTCCTTTGTTTTTGTTTTTGTTTTATCTTTCATCTTTGGCGGGCGGCTAAAGTCAAGTTTCTCCTTTCTCAAGAGCACTTTGAAAGAGTCATTCATGCTTTGGTCACATCTCGGCCGGATGACTGTAACGCGCTTTACTTTGGAGTCTGCCAATCCTCCATCAAGCGTCTCCAGTCGGTCCAGAATGCTGCCGCTCGTCTCTTGACTGGTACTCGGAAGAGGGAGCACATCACTCCTACTCGGGCATCCCGTTCTCTGGCTACATCTTAGAGTTCTTTTTGAGGTCCTATGATTTGTTTTCAAATCTTTCAATGGCCTCCCCCCACTTGAGCTCTCTGAGTCTGCGGACCAGACACAATTAGAGCTCCCAAAAACTAAGCGGCTGTTTTTCCTCTGTGTATGCTTGAGTTCACCCAAGTGACACGTTGTCAAAACGTTTAAGCCTTTCGTGCGCTGCCGCGTGCAGCCCTGCTTTCTCTTTTTACTTTGAATTTTTGTATATAAAGAATTTAAAGTTGGGGGTGGGGGTCTTCACAAGCCCTGTCCACTATTGAAACCCCCCTTCAGATGACGTTTTTCCTCGCCTCACTCCTTTTCCCGTTTCTGGGTGTGACTTGACACTGCGCTAGTGAAACGGCGCACACATGCTCTCTTTCGGCAGCCAAGTTTCAGATATCTGCAAGAATTGCGCAATGCTGCTGATAGCAACTGACAGGATATAATTGTGATGAACGGGATATTTGAGAAACAACGCTATGCCCCAGAAAACAACTTGTTAGGGAAACAGGGCAACACCAAGGGTCCACATCACCCTGAAACCCACCAGGAGACGTGTTCCTCATTCTCAAAATATTTTCTTCCATTTGGGTGATTGCTACAATTTTTTTTTATGGCATTGGAAACTGTGTTTGGACTGTTTTGATTACAAATGCTGTATAAAGCTATCGCAGGTCTTCTGCTCTTCTCGGAGCAAAACGCTGCCTGTTCAGACAAGCGCACGACGTAAATGAGCTCAGCTATGAAATATCTGAAAAGTACTTGGACTGAGCTGCGTGCTCATCTTCAAAAGTACTGACCTTGGAAATGCTGACCTTAATTCCAACGAGCCCACTGCATTTCCTCAAAATGTAGAAATAGTCAAACAACAGTGTAAAGCGAGGCACCCCTCTGCAGCACATCTCCCTTGTCAATAATTGGAAGAAATGTTGTGGACACAAGCAGTTTACGGGCATAGTAGAAGCCAAGTTTCTCCCTGAGCTTTGGTGTCTGAATCTGAGATTGTGTGCTTTGAAAGGAAGCTCTTGGTCCAGAAGAAAACCCCGACCCAGCGTATATTTAGAGACCAGCTCCGTTGGACTCCCTTGTGGAGTTACAATGGTTCCCTTGTAACTCACTCGCATTTGAGTAGACAAATTTCAGAGCCCTCAGATGTGACTGGACAACACTAAAAGAAGCTTGTACGAACTCAAAAGCCTGAGTGGGTGTGGATGAACAGTCATGGTGTCATCGGCATAATAGTGACAAAATGCGTCAGACGCGTGAGCGCACAAACTGTTGATGTAAATTGAAAATGAAGTGGGGCCCGGGACGGAGCCTTGGGGCACCGCTTTGGTGACATCCAGAACAGAAGCCCAGAACACACTCGGTGTACTTTCATCCGGCTCGACTAGTCTGTCGGACCAGTCGGTCAACAAACCTTCATGGACTCCGTCCAATTCTCCAGCTAGCGACGAGTTCCCATCCCCAAGCATGAAGGAGCGTTGTGGTGTCCTTGTTTTGGATTGATAGTCACGTTTTCCCCTCCTTCTTTAGCCTCGCTTCAGACCAGCTGTGCCAGTCAAGCCAATATGTTGCGTTTTTCTTGTCACTTCTCTTGCCAAACAAATCCGAGCGCTGGAGAAATGACATGGAAGAACAAGAAAACACGCGTGTCAGTTTCTGGCAGAGGTTTTGCTGTCTGCTCAGATTTCATGGCCCATGGAATTATGGCGCTTTCTGCCAGCTGGAGGCCAGGTGAAATGGCCACCCCTGCCCTGTTTGAGCTCCAACCCTGCAATAAGCGTCCTTTTCCCCCTGCGCAGGCCTCATCCTGGCTGTCCTGAGTGCTGCTGCCAGTAAAGGAAACACATTAACACCGCTGCCAGCAACAGAGCCGGCTTTGTCCCCCCCACCCTGGGCAGGCCAGTCGTATATTCAGTTGAAGCTCTGCTCCATGCCGCGCTGATTAGACAAAGGAGGGAGGAGAGCAATCGGGAGCATAGGTGTGAGCTTTATAAGGAGACCTGGGGTGTGCCAGGTGCTATGTAAGGCCCCAATGAGGTCCTGGTTGCAGCCGTTGCAGTTCAACCCCCAAACCAAAATAGTGTCTTGATTTATGAGTTGAATATGTCCCTGACCACACTTGCAACTGAAAATAATCATATCATCTTTCCTCACTGAATTAAATGAAAAATGGCATTAATCCATTCCAGCGGCACAAAAAACCCCCACCACATTAAAAACAAAACATTTGTTTTACTAACACAGCTCTCCACAGTATTGTGCTGTATGAAGACAAAGTCATAACACACACTTATAAAATAAAATGTAAAAAAAAAACACACAAAAAAAAAAAAAACAAAGCCAAACAGTTTGTGCGTCACCATTTCTTGCTGCAGCTCAATTGACATTCGGGTGGGTTTACCTTGGCCACCAGGGGACAGTATAATACAGACACGACAAAGGAGATTTTTACAACTGTCTGTCTCTATGCACTAGTACAAGGAGTAGTTTTTTCACAGAAGGTATCATGATCATGATTATTTTACCTGTCTACTTGTGGTGCTACACCGTTTGTGTTCAAATATCTTTTGCTTCAAGGGTTGTATAATTGCCACCTGTTTCATTTGCCCATCGATGGCGTTTTGCATGGTGTATTAGCATGTAGATCATGGAAAATCACCAGTTTTGTGCTTTTGTTAAATTCACGTGTCAGAGTCTTTGTTTTATGTTCAAACTAGAACTGGCAGCTTAAAGTGAGTAGTGTGTATCCAATTGTCCACTGTCTGCTCCTTGTTAGTTGAGCCGCCCGCCATTCAGCGCTTGTAACTCCCAATTTTTGCTCCCAAAACAAGACACAACCGCTATCTTGAAAAACTGGTCAGGCCACTTGTAAGTGGAGGTGCCAACGGCAATGACTTTTCCAGATTGGTGTACCTGTATTTGTATTGGATTATTTAGCGTTGACAAACTATGTACAGCCATTCAATACAGTCAATTAACAGCCCGCAGCCCGTATTTATTTATGGAGGCCTTCAAGAGAATATGCAATGAAATCAAATGAAACTGGCAGCTCTGCAGTTTTATGACCTTGTAATCTTTCGTTTCTGTCTCTCAACCAGCAAAGCTTCTTTGGGTGTCTAGAAAAGCGCAATGCAAGTGTTATGTACGATGTGGTCAACCTTTTAGCACTTCGGCATCACAGTGCACGCACACCTGACGTCAAATATCTGAATTAGTGTTTATCACTCCTTATGTGTTGAGAGGCTCGCTATGTGTACAAGCACCAGCACGCTATATGCCACAATGTATGTCTGGCCTTTTCTGGTCTGTTTCTTCTCAGCCTGCAGTGCCTGTCGGTATTTTATGAAATAATGACTACAAATTTGGTGCATTGGTACGATTGCCTTGATGGGATTTTCCTGAGTCTTAAATAGAGGCGCTGCTCCTTGTCAGGGCAACAGTAACGCAATGTCGAGACAGAGCTGCACTATTATGGCGCAGCAGAAAAAAAACAAAACAGTCGGACATTTGCGAGAGGTTCAGGGTAATGAGAGTTTGATTTATATGGCAAGTGTTTATGGAATGAAAAGAGCACTCTTTGATGCAAGATGTGATTTTTGAAAACACTCGCAAATCATCCTCGCACATATCTCGACGGACGAGCGAAGAGCCAGCTCGAATCAGGGATTCCGAGTGAGATGCCGCATTAGTCGAGCTGACACCATAATAGTGGGGTTGCGTTTCCAACTCAAAAGTGCTTTATTTTGCTTGGACAAGTGCAACTTGTATGAGCGGGATCTCCGCAGCATCTTTCCCCCCGCACAGTTTGAACAGGCAACGTGATACCAGGCCCGGGTGTTCCGCCAAAAGTTCCAGAACTCTTGTAAAGCCTGCTAACGGCAAATCAATAACGAGCCCATTTTGTGTATTGCCGCTGAATATGAACACCGCCCGTTTCTGATGTCGTGGAGCTCGTGTCCATGTGACGTCCCGGAAATTGACCCTGCAGTTGCGGAAAACTCGGGTGTGACCCTCCTGTTGATTTTTGTGGCCATTTTTTTTTTTTTTGGTGGGGTTTGTTTTTTTTTGTGACCTCTCCGGTGTTTTTGCAACTAATAAACTCACTGTCTGATTTGCCTTGGCATATCGGCCAGATTTTACACCAAGACCCGAAATTACAGAGGAAAATGATAGAGTGGAGCTAAGCTGCTCTGGCTCCAATATGAAGTGGGAACAAATTGACTTTACTTGGGCTGGTTCTTTTGATTTAGTTTTGGATCAGCTGAAGCTGAGCTGGAGTGTGGGGGTCTATTATTGTGTGTGTGTGTGTGTGTGTGTGTGTGTGTGTGTGTGTGTGTGTGTGTGTGTGTGTGTGTGCGCGCGCGTGCATGCGTGTGTTGGGTTAATTTGCGTAATAGTTTGGTTGCGATCCGTCGCTTGACCTCAATGAGCCATTTTTGCCTCTCACTATTGTGTATGTTCAGCAAAGCTGAACGGCCTTTATTTTTCGATGTGCATCCCGCAAGCTTCAATTGGAATATGAATGAGCTCCATAAACACTTATATCATACATATATACAATATATCTATTTTTTTTCAGGGTCCAATTTTGTGACACGGAAGATCAGCCGCTCTGTGGCCAAGATTCACTTGGGCCAGCTGGAGAGCTTCAGTCTGGGTAACCTGGATTCCAAGAGGGATTGGGGCCATGCCCGCGACTATGTGAAGGTAGAACACGATCTATCCACGAACCAAGCCGCGCACACACAAGACCAGAAAAAGACCCACAAATGCCCATTTTTCTCCAACGTAAATGTCGAGTGCCAAATTGACACGCAAACATTCACCGTAGTCAGTTCGACCAATGTCCTGAAGAAGAAGTAGACAAAGCAATTGTTTGTGACACCAGCGACAACCTCCAGAGGGCAGGATTGGCGCTAACGCCATCGGTTTGCGGAAAACATCATAAGATGCAATCCACCCAATAACAAGACTGAGAGGAAGGCCAGGCAGAAATTTGTCCAGCAGTCACAGAGCTTTTATGAATCGATGAGCCAAATATTGATCTTGATTGATGTGATGGCAAGGCAAATTTTCAGGACGATTCCCGTACGAGTATTCACTTTTGAGTCCTCTCCGATACTGATGCCAAGCGCTGATACCACAAGTAATTATGATTTATCAAATTTAAACGAGCACAGTGACAGATAGTTGTGAACAAAGTCTTTCTGGCGCATGTGATGAGTCGCCGATTTTTCTAACAGCCGCAGCGTAGCACCAACTACCGCTGATTTGATTTTTGCCTTAAGTATCGGCGGATGGCATCGGTATCCTCCGCGACGAGAACCCGATACCTTGAAACGAGAAGGGTATCGCCCCACTCCCGATATCTGGTGTCGTCACTCGCCCATCCCTGCTCGTGATCCTTTTTAGTGGCACATTCCAAAATCAAAGTCGCAATTTTGGATCTGCTGTCTGATCCTCAACCAAAATGTTTTGAATCTACAACAGACATAAAGGAACGAGCTTCAGCGTTCTACTACTTTTGGTCCATCACCGCTCAGCTTCCACAGCCCACAGTGCAACCACAAGCGATATTTTGTTCCAAGGGCCACTGTCGCGAAGTGAATCGGAAAGTTTGGTGGAAACGTGGCTCAACTCTGCGTGCACTGCATGGGAGCTGAACAGTGCACAGATGTCCACATAACAGAGGACGGTTTTCCCAGATCATTTGCGAGTTCAATGTGCGTCCTGTTTGAAGCCTCTTGTGATTCTCTGCCAAAAGAAAACTCGAGATAGCAAAAGGGAGCGGCTGCGGTGCAATACCGCCTGCCGTGAGGCCGTAGACTCCGCTCCGATTTCCCACAGCTCAGCCGTGGCCCGGCTCCCTTGCAGCCCCCCCACCCCAACCCCATCCTTCCTCGAACACCCTCGGAAAAAAGAGCCACGTTAAGGGAATGCCGCGTCCTGCGGATGAGGACACAAGTGCCGTGTTTTTGTTCAGGTCACGGTGCCAGCGGCAAGCAGAGAGCGCAGTGGCGAGATGAAACAAACGAACAGGGGTCACCGCATCCCGGATCAGGCGCCGCTGACTCTTTCGAAATGTCTGTTTCCCCACGTCGGTGCGCGCGTCAGGAAACATTCCTTGGAGCAGCCAAAGCATGCGATCGGTTACGTTGGGAGCGTATGTGTGTGTGGCTGACGAGATGAAAGGCTCAACGGGCGACCATGTCTGACAGAAGACCCCCGACGGCGCACGCTGTTGTTATAAGGAGTTGATGGTGGCATAGGTAGCGGGGAACATTCTTTGAGATGGGAGCCAAATTGAGGAGGTTCAAATGCAGATCAGAGCGTTGGGTCATGGCGGTCAAGTGCTCAAAGGAACGGCGCGCATGCATCAGCGCCATCAAAATCTTTGAAGGGTACTTGAAGATTCTCGGCTCAGCCACATGGCTTTTGTCGGCCTCCTTCATTTGATGGCTAATGCTAATCACCTGAGCTCTTCTGGAAATGCATTTGCTTCGTGTACCTTCCATCCATCTGCCTTCTTCTTCCGCTTCTCCGGGTTCTGGTTGCCAAGGCGGCAGCCGAAGCCGAGCATCCCTGACTCCCCAGTCTGAGCCACTTGATCCCGCTCGACTGGGAGATCCCGATGCAAGAGGCAAATGGCCCGATTTTTTGACGCCGCGCGGTTACAATGGAACCAGTCTTTCGAAACCTCTTCTGAGGTGCTTCGAAAACGCAGTTGCCCCCGTGACGCCTCTGTCATCTGATTGGCCGACATATGCAGCCGTTTCCTAAGCGATCATGTGGCGAGTAATGCCACTGCTCGCGCCCATTTTCACATTTTATTGCCGGAGAGTACAGTAGATGCATAATTGTGCTTTACAATAATACTCAACCATAACCAGCCTGACGGCGGGATCGGGCGGTCTTCTTTTTTTTGTCAAGAGCGTTAGATTGCATTTCCGAATGCACCCGGCAGCAAATGACGACGACAATACTTTCGCTTCGAACTGCCTTTGAAATCTATTTTCCTTTATAATTTAAAGGGGCTTACCTTAGCTAGAATTCCACATAGCATTGTAACCTGCTTGGCTCGTGCACCTTTGGGCAAATTCTTTCAGCCAAATGCTGTTTGCCATGCACATCTGTCTGGAATCATCTGTGTTGCCTTGCTTCCATCACCACGTTTGAGATGTTTTGTACCGACGGTATTCATGAAGGTGAAAAACGAACACCCTCACTGCATTGAAATGATGGCTAAAATGTTGGTATGTCACATTTGTGTGAGCCTGCTCAAGGAGCTAGCCAAGAGTTTAGTTGCCGAGAACATGATGTTGAATGGGGCTTTTTTTTTTTTCCAAGTGCGACTTTATTCCAAGCCTTTGCGCTCTAATTGACGGGTCCCTTTACCTTCCCGTCCAAACTGCTCTGAATTGCTGCATCAATGCATGCGTCTGATGCTAGTCCGGTGTAGCCTGACTTGAGACGCTGCAGGTTTCCTGTGGGAATTGCCAACATTCCACCTCCGGTAAATCAGGCACCTCCACGCTTCATGTCTTAACTCGGGCTTGCGGGAAGCCAAACAGAAGCCCGGGGTACTTTGGTTAACTGAGGTGGAGGTGAAAGAGCCCCCCCCAAAAAAGTGCTTGAAGCATCTGTTGTGCTGAAAGTTCAGCCGCTCTGCAGGCAATCAAAGGCCGCAACTGTCATCGGGGGCCCCGGCTTTGCTTTCTTTCGCCTCACTTTGAAACGCTCGTCCAGTCAGTGTCAGCACTAAGTTACCATGGCAAATGCAAACAAGCGGCAGTTTGTAAACAGAAGCATGTGTGTCTGCTTTTGGGCTGACAACAGCTTTTCCTCCTCATCTTTCTCGTTCTCCTCACCCCACCCAAGACCGGGAAATTGCTCCTAATTGGCTGCGGGTAGATTGCGGGTGGCAGGAGGGGCGTGCTGTGTTTCTGCTTTAATGATGTCTGAAGGCGCGCGGCTGGCTGGGCATCATCTCAGCCGTGTATCGGGTATCTCGGCCGCGTCGGCGGGCCAGCGACTCTCATTCTCAAACCCTTTATTTGACATTGTTTTACGATGCTGGGACATTTGCTGTCAAGTAAGTCAAGCCGATTTATTTGGCAATGTTCTCAGAGAAGACTGACTGAAGTGCTTTGCATAAAATGCCCAAATATTAGAAAGTTGCCATTTTTTTGTTGTCTGTAGCTTTCCGTTCATCCATTCCAGCCACAGAAGGACATTATCCAGTTGAACCTCATTCCCGCGTACCTCCGGGGATGTAACAAATCCATACGGTACTTCGTTGGAACCATTTTCAATGAAACGGCCACCGACTATGCCGTATGATGAAGATTTAGATGTGTAAAAACATGAACGTGTAATACGGCGTGAACATGTCCATGACAAATACGTGTACATGAAGGAAAAAAAAAAAACGCTTTTGTAAGGCGTGACGCAAACAGCCGCAGCGTTCCAACTTCATCTCTGAAAACATTCAGTCAGCAACTGTTAGCCGCCATTGGCAACCGCCGGCGCCGCCGACCCAGCCGACTGTCATCAGTTTAGGATGTGCCGCACCCCGAAGCCGTTGACGATCGTCTGTCGGCCTCCAACACTGCCATGATTTTGTTGCCATTACGACCGATTGTCAGAATCGTCGATTTTTTTGCCAATTCGAAGTCTCGGCTGAGCTCCGTCTGGTTGACGCCCTTTTGAAAGTGAGAGACAATTTCAGCCTCGACAGACAGCCACATTTGCTTCTGTTTACCAGTCATGTTTTCAGACCGTGTGCTCAGGACCGCGCCTTGCCTCCGGAAGTTCAACAATGTACGAGTCCATCGGTTGCGTTGCTAAGCAACGGAGGGGCGTCATTCTACAGTGTCTTTTTTTTACTTCGTCATATTCATTTTCATTCGCCCACTGCCTAACCCGAGCGCTTGACTATCCAGGCATGAAGTCATGGCGGGATGCCCTTCGTACCTGCACAAGGGTCATCCGTTTCAAATAGACGGACTTTTTTTATTTGATTTTTTTTTTTTGGGACAAATGCCTTTTTTTTTTTTTTTTTAAATTTTAAACATAGAATGTCTCTCGTGCCCCGGTAAAGCTTTACCTACTGTCTGGCTCCTGTTGTTGTCCGGTTTGCAAATTTCTCCACTCCCCTCTTGATGTCCAAGAGGCAGTTTTTGCTTTTGTGCCCTGACGAAAGCTGGCATTGTTCTGACTGTTCTCACAGATTGCGAAACTGCTGCCAGATGAGTTGCGGTTGACCCGTGGACGTTGTGAAAGCCGGTCTCCTTCTGCTTTTTTTTTTTTTTTTCTTTTCACGTATTTATTTAAAGCTGATGATTACCAGTTAGATTCAGCCGTATACGCGCGTGCGTACGCGGGTGGTTGGCCTTGCGGTGTGATAACTGTCACAATTCTTGGCATTGTGTTGATGCCATTTGGCCACGGCGTCGCCCCACTGGTGTCATTTTTCACCATCTTTATTTTTGTTCTTGTTTTTTTTTTTTTTTCGTCATCTGCCGCAGCCGTCTGTGTGCGCACTATTGGTTACAGATGAGGCTAATTAGCCAATCTGAGCCAATCGTCGATGATTGATGAAAGCACCGGCTCATTCATCACACGTTTGGTCTCAGAGGTGACAATATGAGCCATTTCATCAAACTTTCGACAGTACGCTGCACCTGTGTTTGTCGAAACGGGAGTTT